CCCCAGTGTATCTGCATCACAGCTTCTTACAGTAACTGCCTCTACTCTTCTCCTCCCTAACGCCCTGTGCGCCTCTGAGGGCACGACTCTCTGTAATGAGTGTCGCAGTTAACCCCTCCTCCCTTGGCATGTTCGCACCAAGCACCAGATCTGAAAGGTAAATTTTCGAGGTGGCACTTGCTCTGCAGGCTCTGCCTGTCCCCCGGGCTCCGGCAGCCGCAGCTGCCGTGGGCGGTGACTCAGAGGGTGGCTTTGCAGAGGGTGCAGACCTGTCTTCTCCTTTCAGGAGAGCTCAGGACCGGTTTTGTTCGTTTCCCTCTCGGGTGCTGCTCAGAGCCAGTGGTGATTAGGGCGTAGCTGCCGAGACTTGAGCTATCGTTGAGGTTTAACGTGGTTTGAAGGTGGTTTTTTTTTTTTTTTGTCCTTTGAGGTCAAAAGGTCTTTGTACATGGAAAGATTGCTCCAATGTGGGATGTTTCATGAGGCTCTGCATCCGAAGGCCTGGTCAGGGAGTGAGGAGTTGACCTCTGAGCCCGGGGACTTTTTGGAAACTTCGCTGAACTACGATTTACTTGCTATGAAATTCTCCCATGTTTAATATACAACGGAACCATTTTGAGTAGATCTGCCGAGTGGCACAACTGTCACCATCGTCTAGCTTCCATTACTCCAGTGGCCTCGTTGGGAATGTGGTAACCGTTGGGTGTTTGATTTTGGCCAGTGGACTTGACGTGCCTCGTCCAGTTCAGAGAGTTCAGTGGTTTGCCCGGGGATGGGTCGGCCTTCGGTGTCAGGAAGCACAGAGGTTAAATAAGTTACTTAGGAAGAGTTTCCCTACTGCTTTTCACTTGTTCCTATAGCAGACCAGGTCGGTTTAATTTATACTCGGAAGTTTCTTTAAAAAGCAGATAATAAGGTTTCTCGTTTTGCTTGCATGGCTTGGGGAACAAGCCTGTACCTTTCTGGCCAGGGTCACGGCATTCGGGACTTTCTCCGCTCCTCCCAGCCCGCACTGCTTAGAGTGGCTGCTTAAGTCAGGCCCGTCATTGCATTTCTGCTTCACCTCCTTCGGGGTCTGCACGTCTTTCCTCCCTCGGATGCGCTCTCTCCCATCACACGCACTTATGCGCGCGCACGCCCACAGAGCCCTGCACGGCCTCAGTGCCGTTGTCTCTGGGAAACCAGCCCTGATGCCCCTCCCTCTTCACATGGCAAGGAATGCTCTATTGAATGCCCTACGTTCCTTTCTGTCCGGACTTGCTCTTACCACACTAATGAAATCGCCAGGCTGTTTCCCGTGCCTAGGTGGTGCCCAGGTGTGCTCGTGGCGAAGTGGGGTCCTGACTGCGGGGGACGGTGGCCCCACGTGGGAGAGGTTGCAGCAGCGAGTCGCCCTGGCACTCGGGGGCCTTTGCTGTGCGAGCTGGGTGTGGTGGCAGGGTGGCCGCCCCGGAGGAACCGAATGTCGGTGGTTTGGAGTAGTCAGTTCCGGCATTGGCAGGTTCCCCTTCTGTATTGCACAGAGCTGGGAAACCGCTGAGGTCATGTGCTCTGCCGGACTTGTTCAGCGGATTTCCTCTTCGCAGACCCCAGTGCACACTCCGATCCCTCTCTCCGTGTGCTGTTGGTCTGGGCTTCTTCAGGGTTACGACGGTGGAGTTCTCCACCTAGTCATTCCTCTGCCTTGCCGAGGGTGGAATGGGTAGGGCCGCCCACATGGTCTCCTTCGGACAAACGTCAGTGGACAAGGTAGACAGGTGTTGTTACGCAAGGCACTGGGCGTTAGGCTCTAGAAGCAGGTTTCGTGTCCGGGATGCAGCTGTCTCACACATGCACTCGCAGATGTGTACACGGACACACAGCTGTCATTGTTGAGAGCCTGCTGGTGCTCGTGTATGTGAGCTCGCTCTGCAGCAGTCTTACGAGAACAGGTGCTGTTCCCGGTCCTGTCTTACAGGCAGAAAACTGAAGTTCAGAGGAGCCAGTTAGGCAAATGTCATTCTTGCTTGTTCGCATTTCCTTCCCTCTTTTCTCAAGGAAGAAGTGGGCACGGTCCCTTCCACAGCGAGCTGTCGGACCTTGCTTCCTGCTGTCCTTGACGTGTCCTGCCTTCAGCCCCTCCTCACTGACTCCTTCCCTGCAGGCTGCAATGAGTGCCTCTCCTCAGTCAGGGGAGAAGGAGAAGGGGAGACAGACTGGTGACAGACACACGGACACACTCTGAGACAGACACTCCTGCCTTGGGCATGCGCCTTCTCAGATTAGCCCTTTCTTTCCCTTTTAACCCCCTGGAACAAGCAGTCTGCCTTTGCTGCCTCTAGTTCCCCGCGCCTAGTTGCTCTCCTGGTTACAGTAATCTGCCTCCCCCGCCGCACCGCACTGAGATGCCCCTTACTGGGGTCTCGGGGGGGCCTTCTTCCGTATCTGCCACCATCTCTTCTCTCTGCCACTGCTTCCCTCGGCGACATTTGAAGTTGGCTTCAGCTTCTTGCAGCATTTTCCTTCCTGGTTGCCATCATGTGGTTGTCTCATGGTTTCCATTCTATTTATTATAGTGACTGCCCTTTCTCTGAAATATTTGTCTCCTAAAGGCCCCCTTCTGAGGCGCAGTCCGTGACCGTTTTTGTCTCTCTGCAGCCGGCTCCTCCAGGGCGCCCAGCCACTCCCGTGGGGCATGGTTCACGCCCGGGTTCCCACCCTGGTCCCTCCTGAGTCCGTCGGGCCGGAGTCCCAGCTGCCCGCAGGCCCCTGACCTGCCGGCCCGAGCCGGTTTCAGGCGAGGGGTTATTGTCTTTCCGGCCCGCTTCTCCTGGAGTCCCCGGCCTTGCTTCATGGCGTCATCTTTTCTTTAGTCATCCAACCACAAGTCCCCAAATCACCGTTTAAAAATAAAGCAGCCTTTTTCCTTTTATAGAAGTTTCTGCAAGTTTACTATGGAGGGTGCATGGTGCCAGATTTTCCTCTGGAACAATGTGAGAGTGCGGAGTTTCCCCACACGTTGGACGACACTCGGTGCTCTCGCCCTTCTTCCTCTTGGCCAGGCCGACGGCTGGACATGGTGTTATTGTCCCTTTAACTTGCATATCCTTGAGTAGTAATGAGTTTAAGAATGTTTTCCCTGTACTTACTGGTCATTTGTATTCTTTTGTGAACTTTTTGTGTTTCTAACCTGTTTTTTTCCTAGGGAAATATTTGTCATTTTATTTATTTCAAGCATTTAAAATGCATATATGCATTATAAAGGTTATAGGAAATTATTAGTTCCTTGTTATATGCTACAAATATTCCCCCCAGTTTATCTTTCCATTTATTTTTTTCTTTTTTTTTAAATTTAATTTATTTAAATAGATTATTTTTAGAGAGGGAAGGGAGGGAGACAGAGAGAGAGAGAAACATCAATGTGCGGTTGCTGGGGGCCATGGCCTGCAACCCAGGCATGTGCCCTGACTGGGAATCGAACCTGCGACACTTTGTTTCACAGCCCGCGCTCAATCCACTGAGCTACGCCAGCCAGGGCTAAATTTAATTTTTAAAAGTATAGCAGTTTAGCTGCTTTTTGTGTAGCAAAAAATTTCCCCCTCTTCCTTCATGATTTCTGCTTCCATAGTCTTGTTTGGAAAGATATTTCCCATTTAAAGATTGTACAACAATTCATCTATATTTTTTCCCTATTTTTATACTTTTATTTTTAAAATCTCTAATGCATTGGAGGCTTAATGTCAGTAGCAACATGTGGGGTCAGGAGCTCACTTTGCTTTCTCGTCCTCCTTCCGTTGTCTGTAGAGCCCCCCCGCCCCCCCCGTGCCCAGCAGTCTGACGGACAGGCAGGGGTTCTTCCTCTGTGATGAGTCATCATTTTCCTTTCTGTTTCCAGCGTTGCCCTAGTTAGAGGCCTTATCACCTCTCACCTGGATTCCTGAGATAGTTGTCCAATATTTCCCTCCTGACTCCTTCTGCCTCTTGAGGCCTCCCGCGCTGTCGTCCTGGTTACTGGTCTGTCTGAGCACGTGCCGGTTCCCGCTGCCTGCCGGTTCCACGGCGTCCCAGACCACCCCCACCCAGTGCCCCGGCACCGCGCTGCACCATTCCCTCAGTGCGCCGCCCATTTGGTTTTCGCCCTTCGTTTACGCCGTTTCCTTTATCTTGACTGTCTCCTCTCCCCGATTTTCACCCCTGAGTACAGTTGATCTTCCGAAGTTCAGCCCTCATTTCCTGTTGCAGCCAGCTGGTGAAGCACCTCTGTTCCCAGAAGCTGGCCTCCGCGAGGGCGGGGACAGGTGATCAGGCCTGTAGTGCGTGTGGCCCAGAGCGGCCGTTACAGCGGTTTCCCGAGGGGATGCGTAGCTGCCAGAGTAGATGACTTCGGGGGTAGATTGACTTAGGATATGTGTAAAACAAAGCTCTATAAAAATGGTCTAAATATGAAAGGTGGATAAGGACTATTTATGAGAAGAACGATGTAAGTATACGAAAGGTAGGCTTTTGTGCAAGCGCTCATTCCCAGCGTGCTCGGGACTGCGGGCCCTGGACGCCGGGAGGGCACGGTGCCTCGGCCTCGGGGCTCCAGCTGCCGAGCGGGAGCCTCCGTCCGGGGGTGTCCTGGGTGGCAGCTGTCATTTCCGAAGGTGGCAGTGTGTTGTGGCAATGGCGTGGGGCCTTCAGAGTCACACCCACTTGGGTTCGAGAGTGGGCTCAGCCACTTGCAACCCAGATGGGTATTTTGGGGCATAGTAGTTGTAGGGGCCCATAATACTACTTCCCTTTTGGGGTTTGTAGGCGTCAGGTGAGATAGTTCATGCCAAGTATTTCTTTAGCCTACTCTCTGCCATGCGGCATCAGAGGTGATTTTTTCCCAGTGTTACTTACACGGCACACGGGCCATTGAGGAGGGTGAAATGTTGCAAGCCTCTATCCCTTGTGGTGAGAGGAAGGGCCAAGAACTCCTCTCTCCGTTGGCTCCCACTCTTCTGAGAACTGCTGTAAGGGATGCGAGGTTTGACCCTCCTCTTCTCGGCGGGGGCCTGGTCCCTGTGATGTGCTGATGTGCGGAGGGAGAGGGCGAGGGCCCCGGCCCCCTCGGCACCACGTCTTCGGTGCCGGCGGTTTCTGGTCCGCCGGTTCTATCATCAAGCGCTGGGACACGGGTCTCAAAAAAAAAAAAAAAAAAGTAAGGAAAGAAAGAAAGAAATGTGAGTTTTGCTGTGGCCGTGGCCGAGAGTCCCCATCCCAGGTCGGATGTGCTCACGTCCCGTCACCACTAGGCAGGATTTCTCAGAACTTTGTGTTTTGTTTTGTTTTGCTTTCAGTGACTTATTTGTTAAACATTTGTACTTGTGGAAACACTGGGACTTGCCCTTGAAGGAAGATGCGCCAGCCCCACCTTGTTGTCAGGATGGTGTTCTGAAGCGCAGGTCTGCTCAGGCCGTCCCCCTTTGGAAAGCCCTGCCATGTCCCCATGCCTGGCGTGAAAGAAAGGCGTCACAGCCTTGCAGACAAGCCTTGCACGCACCGCTGCCTCCCAGCGGTTCTCGTGCACTTGGCCGGCGAGCAGGGGCAGTGCTGAGCCCGCGTCATGGTCTGACTGAGACGTTTTGGCGGCGCTGGCGCATTCAAGTGAGAGGGGAGCGGGAGGGGAGGGGCGGAGGGGCAGCTGGGGTGGGCTAGCAGGTCTTCAAGGAGCTGCCCAACCGTGAGATTCGGTGAGGGTTGCTAAGACAGCGTTAAACATGAGACTTGGTAAAAAGTGGTGCTGGTGAATGATTTTTTTTTTCTTTTGTGCACAGATTGTTTTATTTTTTTTGACTTCAGCTTTCTCGGGGAATAATTAGCATACAAAATTGTAAGATATGCCAAGTGCACATTGTCACTGTGTGTTATGCACACACATTGTGGAAGGACCATCCAGTTCACTGCTGCATCCGTCCCCTCAGAGATTCATTTATTTTGGCGAGGACATTTGTGTTCTACTCTCTCGGCGAATTTCAGCTGCACAGTATAGTGTTACCTACGGTAGCCCCTGCGTTTCCCGTAGTCGAGGATTTTCTGCTGTTTCTGTGAAGCGTGGGGGCAGGGCGTGTTGAAGATTCCACACGTAAGTGATACCATGCAGTGTTTGTCCAAGAAGAGAACCCAGGGTCCTCTTCTTCCTCGTGGCGGAGTAATGTCCCGTTTTGCGCACACAGACGCATGCACACGCCGCCTCTTCCTCACCTGTGTGCGTGCTGGGGGGCAGTTGGGCTGTGCCCATGTCTTGGCCCTTGTGAACGCCGCCGCAATGGACACAGGAGTCCGGCCCCGACTCTGAGACCCAGATTTCCTTTCCTTTCCTTTCCTTGGGCTGCATACCCAGAAGTGGAACGGCGGGATCCCACGGCAGTTCTGTTTTGATTTTGGGGGGAACCTCCACGTGTCCTTCACAGCCACTGCGCTGGTCTACATGCCCCGATGGTGCCCGAGGGCCCCCTCTTCCCCCTTCTCCCCGACACTGTTGCTTCTGGTCTCATTGCGGACGGCCTCACACTTGTGTGACGTGTAGGGTGTTCGGCTTCCCGTAGTGACCGTCCTCCTGCAGCCGGTCATCAGGCCTGCCCTGTCGCAGGTAGACTGGGGTGGGGGGGAGGGGCACAGACGGAGGTTGTGGGGGGTGTCTCACGTCCCTCCTCCCACTTTGTTGTTGACCGAGGAAGCCCAGAAGAGAGAGGAACACCTGCCCAGCGTCTGTGACTGGCTCTGATCCAAGGCAGAGTCACTCTCTGTGCCGTTCCTTCATCGCCTTCCCCGTGCGTTCACCTCGTTTCGAGGAGAAAAGTAATTTTTCTGCTGCCGACTCACGCTCGAGTAGTCCCAGGTCTGCTCCCGTTCGTCACCACAAGTCAGACTGCCCCCCACCCCGAGAGCCGGGCCCGCCGGCAGCTGTCTGCTGTGTCCTTTTGGCAGGAAAATGTCGGGGGGACTGTTATTGTACGGGAGTTGGCCTGAGACTGCAACCGTTTTCCCCACCGACGGCCTGCGGTCCTTCCGCCTTGCCCTCTGGTCCCCAGGCCCGCCCAGCAGTGTGCCGAGGGCTTTGTGACGGTCCCAGGTTGAGGTCTGATTTAGTTACTGGGTATCTCTTCTGGAAAACTCATTTGTTCCCCTCCCGCCTCCGGGCATTTAAGTTCTACCTGAAAGGAAAGTCGGAAGATAAAATATCATTTATTATCGTTGAGTTTAGGAAGCAGCCACGAATTCTCCGGTCCGTACCTGTGTCCAGGCGGTACTCATTCAAGAACCCGCTGTGTGTCGGACGCTGTGCTGCCGGCCTCGGCGGCAGACCGTGTTCGAGAGTGAGGCCGAGAGACCGTTCTGCGAACTCGGCGACAGCGGGGAAGTTGTCGCTCTCCTACCGTCAGCCTTATGACGTTTGAGTAGAATAATTTTAAGTTAGAGGTTTTTATCTGGTGGTGAACGAAATCTCTGAAATATACGTTTTAAGTATGTGTGTATTTTTCTGGGGGAGGATCTCGAGCATTTCTTAGATGTTTAAGGGATTCCGTGATTCAAAAAATGGTTTTAAAACCACTGCCCACAACGATTTTCAGTTATATACGTTTCTGCTTGTGGAAAACACACGAAACTGAACTCTGATTTGCTTTCTCTCGGGCTTCCCTGGAATCTTGCGAGAGGTGTTCGTGGGGGGAAGCGCGGTTTCCCCTTCCCCTTTCCGGCCTCCTCTCCTCTGGAAAACACTCAGTTCACGTTCATCGCTTCCCTCAGAGTTGCCTTCAGTATTTCAGCTGCGATGATCGACTATTTTGGCAACCCCAAACAACCCTAAAACCTTGGACCAAGAAATTACACTGTGGGTTCTGAGTTACAAAACCGGGAGAGAACTGCAGCAATAAACCTAAATTTCTGAACAGTTGAGATGGTGGCTTCAGTTACAAATAGTTTTTCCTTAGGAACTCCTAAGGAGTAACCTAAGGACTGAGGGAAAGGACCCGAGGCCCACGGGGCAGCTGGGACCTGGGGAGCCAGCTGGCCCCACTGCCCGGGAGCGCGAAGTGGGGTGGAGGAGGAGGTGGCATTTGTGCTCAGGACTTTCCCCACGTCCCCGCCGCCGCAGTCTGACGGGGCAAGGACGAGGACTGATGTGAAACTGGACCTTGAAGGACTGTTGCTTGCGGTCGTCGTAAGCCTCCCCAAGGAGAATGTGGAAACGAAGCTTGCGTTTCCTAAGGAACGCCGCGGACCTCCATGCCTTGCCTCACGCCCCCTCTGCCTCTGTGCAGGTGGATGGAAGCCTGCCTCGGAGAGGACCTGCCCCCCACCACGGAGCTGGAGGAGGGCCTGCGGAACGGGGTCTACCTGGCCAAGCTGGGGAACTTCTTCTCCCCCCGAGTGGTGTCCCTGAAGAAGATCTACGACCGGGAGCAGACCAGATACAAGGTGAGTCCCCCCCGGCTCGCCGCCGCGCTGCTCGTACCCGAGGGAGAGGCGGCCAGCACGCTGTGCCGCGTGTGAGAGTTACCCAGAAGTGTGTTCCTTCTCTCCACCGGCCGCGTGGGGAAACAGTGCGAAGTCGAGGGACGGAAGTAAAAGAACACTAGCCGTCGGTATTTTGGGCACGTTTCTTAACGATGGTGGGTACCGACACGGCCCTTAATGAGATTTTTCATTTCTTAGAAGGTAAAGGAAGTAACTAGGGGAACTATTACTTTAAATCTAATTTTAACCAGGCACTGAGATTCGTTGGCAAATTGAAAGCAATTTTAGGAAAAAAGATCATCCTGTGATACGAGGATTGGAGATAAAAGGGGAAAGCGGTCCAGTTTCGGCACACGGAGATGAGTAGAAGGGTTTGGTTGGCTGTGGCGGCCCAGGGCCCTGGAGAAGACGGCGGCGCAGCCAGGCTGACAGGGACCGGAGTCTGCCGTCCGTCCGCGGGGCCTCTGTGGGGCCTGTCCGTGAGCGCTGGCTTGAAGCGGGGGGGCCTGTGGGAGGCCGGGAGGACTGCAGAGCCAGGCGCCGATATTAAAGGGACTGGGTATAAGTGTTTGGCCGGAACTCAGAATGAGCTAAGGATGGAGATACAATCAAAAGAGATTTTTGTGTTTACATTTAAAGGAAAACAAGGAAGGTATAGACCTTACGTCAAATTAAAATCTCAATAGAAACTTTCTTAATCAAAAAGCAGATACTTGCATATTGATTTTTAAATGAGCGGTTATTCTGAAGACCACTCTGGAGCTGTTCTGTTGGGAGTCTGGGAAGGGTGTGACAGAATAGCTGGACATTAAGGAAGAGTGGAGACTGCAGCAACAATGAAAACCATAGTCCCGCCTCAACCCCGCTTGAGGGTAAATCTTCCTAAAAAATATCAGACATGGAGGTTTAGGGGGGACTACTTGTATTTGTAGCATGCAAACTCTGATATTTAAATATGTTTAATAACACGTATCACTTTGTATCATCTGGCAGACACCACACAGGGCTTTTTGTATGTTTTCTCATTTAGTCTTTACAGCAGACGTGTGAAGTGGGTGTTACGGGTGGGCCCCTTGGACTCAGAAGGGCGGGGTGACTGCCCACTAGCAGATGGCCAAGCAAGAAGCAGAACCCAAGACAACGGAGTTCTCCAGACCGCGTCCTGTTCCGTGCGCTAGGTGCCGGGAGGCTCCCGGCCGCGCTCCAGTGAGAGGAGCGAGGCTGTGGGTCTGGCTCTTCGGGTCTGGAACATGAGCGGAACGCCGCAGACAGACACTGAATTTTAGGGGACCTGGAAAGTCTCACAAGGGACCTTTTTAAGAGAGTTTTTATTTATCATCCATGTCACTCTGGCCAGCAGTGCCCAGCCCTCTCTTATTTGTTCCAGGCGACTGGCCTCCACTTCCGGCACACGGACAACGTGATTCAGTGGCTGAACGCCATGGACGACATCGGCCTGCCCAAGGTGAGCGCCGCGCTGGCCCCGGGTCTGGCCCCGCGGTGACCGTTTGGGCTCAGGGTTCTCGTTCTGCTGGGAAAGTGTGCTTCCCGTTCAACGGAATCTGTGGTGGCTGTTTCTTAACAAAGTGCTCAAGATCTCTTCTCTTTCTTTTAGAAAATAGTTTCTGTTTCATATTCCTCATCCCTGCTTTACCTCGCCCTAGAGAAATTCCCTGTGATGTCATGTGCTTTTACTTCAAGTTGTAGATTTCAGCTGAAAATCACAGAGCATAAAATTCACCATTTTAAAGTTTACAGTTCTCTGTTTTGTTAAAAAAGTGATCATTCACAAAGTTGTTACATCGAAATTTGACTTTAGGAAATACAAGCGAACACTGTAGACATGTCATCTTCCAGCTTTGGAATAACCAGATATGGGGGGGGGGGTGTGAAGGGCCGTTTTATATTTCAAATTACTGAGGCAGTGTAATGCCAGTTACTCCCGTGTAGTTCCCGTGTGGTTTTGGTGATGGCTGTGGGTTCCCCCAGCGGTACTGAGGTGTGATGGACGTTCCGTGTGGAGTGCATGCAGCTGGATGAGCGTGGAGCGGCGGCTGCGGCGCCGGTGACGGGAGAGTGTGCCCCCCAGTGCCTTGCTGAGGAGTTGACCTGGTGTCGCTCTGAGTGCCCGCCCCCCTCTGGCGGCCCAGCCCCCCTGCAGCCGCCCTGGCCACCCCGGGGCGTCGCTCTTGCAGGCAGGGACACCTTTCCCCACCACCCCGCCTTGGACCTTTGGCCCGAGAATCCCACATCTAGGGGTTTATGCCCCCACCCAGTGCTCAGACAAGCTCAGAAAGGTGTAGATGCAAGGGGTTTTAAGCCTTGCTCACGGCAGAAAAATCGATAGCAAACCACACGCTCCGTGACTGGGGGTCTTCGTCGTGCCACAGCCGGTCAGGTGTCCCGCAGCCACCGAGAGGGCTGACGTCACCCTGTGGGGCCCAGGGGGGCTGCCCGGGGTGTGCTCAGTGGAGAAGACACCGTGGGCTGAGGTGGTAGGAGTTCGTGTTCCGGCTAAGATGAGATCACTGCTTTTGTGTAAAAACAAAGTGAGTATTCTTGGGAGGAATCTGTCAGGAGATACCGTTCTCATTTCTGTGGGATGAGATTGGGGGTGGGGTTTTTCTCTTCATACTTTACTACAGACTCTAAGTTTCTGTAACTGAGAAAGGGAGCTGAAGACAACAGAGCTGCGTCCGTGGCCAGACCACCCTGGACCGCGCGAAAGTGCGATGCAGGGTGTCGGGAGCGGCTACGAGCACGGGGTCGGGGGGTGGCTGACTGCTCGTGGGCACAGGACCCATCTGGTTGCCCAGCTGTCTGTGGGGGGGGGGGCGCCGAGTCCAAAGCTGAGGCTTCGCAGAAGACGAGCTTTTATTCACCCTCCTCACCCCCCCTTTTTTTTTTCCAGAGCAAAGTGTTCAAGTGTTCTTCCTTGCTCTGGTAGCTTTGAGAATCAGGCCCCACAAAGTGCCAGGAAATGCAACACGTCAGGTTGTGATGGCCACTTGGCACCTGCAACTTCCTGTTCCTGTTTTTTGCGTGCTCTGCCCGTTGGGCAGTGACGAGGGAACGTCTTTTTAAATGGTCCTAAGAGCTTTGTTGACGTTTGCCATCGCTGTAGTATTGTTACTGTAAAGTGCCTTTTTAACAATGGCATTTGCCTGGCTTTCTCGTTTACTAGCGGGAGGGAACTGTCCCGGGCCACCGTTGCGACAAATACGGGATTCCCAGGGCTTTCGGGGACAACAGGTTTTCGGGGCTCCGTTTTGCAATGTCCACCCTCCATGACTCGGGTCCCGCAGGCTTTTGAGTCATGTGGGCTAAAGGAACCCGGGCTAGAAATGCAGTGTATGTAGTGCACGGTATGGAATCGACAACACACATGTAGAATTTATTGGGGTGTCTTCCCTAATCTCTTTATATGGTGCATACCAGTTAGTAGTAGAAACTCGCTGTGATAATGTTTTGGCTCTTACCCTTTTTGACTGTTTATAATAATTGGTACTATTGACCATCTCCTCCACGAAATATTTAGTTATTTTGAGTTTAATTTTTTACATTGTTTTCAGTCTGCCCCGCTAGTCCTCTGGTCTCCCTTCCATGTCCTAGTGTTGGGCATTCCTTAAGATGCATCCTGACCTTAGCGATACATTCTCTCATTCTCAAGGTTTCAGTTATTTTGAAGACTCTTTTCTCCTGGGGTAGATTTCTATCACCTAACATTTCTCATCTCTCAAACTAAACCTACCTCTTCCATCACGTTAACTCCCCCTCGTCTGTAACGCATGGAACCTTGCTACCGTCTTCGGGGCCATCCAGTCTCAGGGCCGGGGAGTCACCTTGGCGTCTTAAATGAAGTTACTCCCCAGGCCTTCCTCATTTCCTTGAAGCGTCTCTTTTGTCTGTGCACCCAGCCTGCCAGCCCGCCCCCTGGCCTCTGTCTCCCCGCTACTCAGCGTGGTGTCCTGTGTCTTGTCTCCTGTCTGAGGCCCTGTTTTGAATCCTTGGCTCCAAAGTTGGGGCTTCTCCGTGGCCTGCATATCCAGTTCAAACTCGTCTGACTTTCAAGGTCCTCATAATCTGATTCCATCCTACCTACCAACCTCGTTTTCTCTGTTGCTGTCTGAAATGCGTGCCCTGCTGTTTCCGGGAGGGCTGGCTCGCAGCGACCGGTTTTCACCTTTCAGGAGAGGACAGCTCAGTGCAGTGAGCGTGTAGGTGGTTGGAGACATTGTCAGAAAAGGTGATTCTCCCCGGACTGGTGAGGCTCAGCTGGTGGGCGTCGGTCTGCGAAGCGCAAGGCCCCGGTTCCGTTCCTCGGCCAGGGCACGTGCCTGGGCTGCGGGTTCGGTCCCCGCTCGAGGCATGGGCGAGAGGCAGCCAGGTGACGTTTCTCTCTCACGTGGATGTTTCTCTCCATCTCTTTCTCCCTCCCTGCCCCCTCTGTAAAAATGAATACATAAAGAATTTTTAAAAAGGATGATTCTGATACATCCTGTTTCTCAGGGCGGGAGGTTCTTTCTAGTGGGAGCCACGGTCACTGTGGGAAGGGCCTGAAAACACGGACTCGAACACGGGGAGGCCAAGGCTGCCGCGGACACCAGGTGCCGCTCGTCTTTCCCACCGCCTGGTCAGAATCCTACCAATTACCTCATCCTTCCGTTTTTGCCTCTCCAATCCATTGTTATTCCTCCCTACCCCCTAAGTTACAGAATGAATTGTGTGGTGCCTCATTACCGTGAGAACAGGTTGTGAAATTCAAGGCTGTCCCCAATCCCAACCTACTCTGTCTCCATTGGCCCCTATTCATAAATTCATCAGACATGGTGTTCCTTCCATGACCTTGGCTCTGGGCTTGGCATGGAAGATGTAGCAGTGCAACTGAGATGTGGCCTCTGCCTGCATGGGGCCTACAGTCAGTGGGAGGAGTCAGACAGACGTGAACCCCAACAATGGACTCGTTGTGCTAAGGGCGACCGAGGAAAGCCACCCACCTCCCACAGCCCCATCCCTGCGCGTCCTCTGTTCTGGCTGCTTCACCTGCGTGTCTGTCCGGCTCCCCCAAGCAGGGTTAACACATCTTAATACTTCGGAGTTCTTTCCAGTATCTGCATGTAGTGGTTTGCATAGACTGAAGCTCCTATTCGGTGCTCGTTGCTGCGTTACTGCTCAGTCTAGGCAGGACAGGTAGTAACCAGCGGGACTGCAACCCTTCCGAGCCAGTGTTTTAAACTGGACTAGAACTTGGGTTTGATTTGCCCTCGTCTGAGTCCGCAGTATGTAAGTCACTTTCGCGCACCGGGGGGATTCGGCGGGTTGACCAAAGAGGCCTTGTCAGGTAGTGTTTTCCGTTCTGTACCGTAGCAGTGTATCCCTTGCGTTACTGAGGACGAAATGTCTTTTCACCGTAATGAGGTTGTTCGCAGCATGCCAACAGTGTTTTCTGACTGTCCAGTGTTTGCTTCCTATTATTGGTGATTGGCGAAAAGATCAAAAGAGGCCCAACGGATGGCTACCTTACTCTGCTTCTTCTGTTTCTCCTCAGATTTTCTACCCGGAAACCACAGACATCTACGACCGAAAGAACATGCCCAGGTGCATCTATTGCATCCACGCACTCAGGTAACTGGCTTTCGTGACAGAATGTGTCGTGTACGTAGATACAGAGAACAACCTCTTTCTTTTAAATTAAAAATCTCTTAAAATTATAGCAAGTATTTACATTTGGAAAATTTCATTGTTTACCTTTTTTATTTCAAGCTGATAAGCTGAATTACAAAATAGACTATGTCTTGATACTCTAGTGGTTCGATCCAATTTTGTCAGCATCTTCAAATTGTACCAATAAATATCGAACGGTTGATTTATAATTCACTTCGTTTTCTGCATCCTCAGCAAGCCATGTGTTCATTAAATAGTGTTTATGCCAACACTAATAAATAGGAACTGACACAAAGTAAACTTTTTCCCACAATTTTATAGCAAACTTGGAAGATGACTTCGTTTAGATCCCTGATTCTTAGAATCAACAGAGCCCGGAATTGAAAGGAAGAGGGCTTTGGGGGGGGGGGGTTGGAGGATGGGTGTGGGTGTTAACAATAGCGTCCACAGGGCGGCCCGCGTCTCCTCGGTGGCCGTGGACTGACGGAGGGGGCGGGACCGAGTGTGAGATTTCTCACTAGGGCTTCCTGTTCTGTGTCTCATCCTGTCTGTGTGCTTAATGTTTATTACACTGATACAAATGCGTGTGTAGTGCTGGCCCATAAGAAGCCCGTTTTCCTCAGTGTGGTCAAATCCTTGATTTCCCCGGAAGCCACGCAAAACCCACAAAAGAAAAATAGAACTGAGGACTGACCAGGGAATCTCTTCTGTGGACTAATACGTATTGACTTCCGCTCCGGGCATTTCCCCCTGTAGGCTCCCTGCCTCCAGGGCCACCTGCCATGCCGTCCCCTGCAACAGCCCTGCTCACACCAGCCCCTTGGTGAAATACTGCGACCTCTCCTTCCAGCCTCACCTCCAGCCATTCCCTCCTCCGCAGCTGCGCGCTAGTGTCCTTACCGCCTGGGCCGTGCGGGGGGGCCTTTGCTGGGGGCCCTTTCTCCTGCTGGCCCAGAGTGCTACCTCTCCATTGACACATTTTTTTAACTTTTTATGTTTCAGGCAGAATTAGCTACTTCCCGTCTTTGTGCTCCTCTTACTTCAAGTGTGGTGCTTGTTACATTGTGCTCTGGTGGTTTGTTCTGACGCAGGACTTGCTCTCTGTGGACCCCTTGGAGGCCAGAGCGACTTCCTCTATTCTTCCCTTGTCTTTGTGTCTCTGGCACTTAGATGCCTGGCCCGCGGTCCGGTCCCTAAACAGCACGTGGGTGTCTAAACCATACATTGTAACAAGCCTTCCTGCCCCCCTCTTCAGCTGGAGGGGATGTTTTCTGCCCTATAAGTAAATGTGAAAAGGAAGTGGCACTTTCCCTTTATCAGAGACTTTGTTTGTCTTGGCCGAGCCCGTGCAGTGGCGGCTGCATTCCCACCGGCTGCATTCCCACTGGCTCCATTCCCACCGTGTCCCTGAGGTTCGGTGACGCCCAGCGACTCGGCCCATGCCTCCAGCTGAACCCCAGGGTGTGTTCCTTGCTTGCCTTGCTAGTGTTGGGGTTCTCGTCTCGTGTTGTGTCTCCCACACGTTTCACCCCTTCTCCCTGTTGCAGTGTCCGCACCTCAGGGGCAGAGGTCATGTCCCACGTTTTCCCCCCGCCCCAGGGCTCGTAGCATGCGTGATGTTGGACAAACAATGGTAACAGGAGACTTCTTTGAAAAGGCTGAGGAATGGGTGATACCTAGGCGAATTTTCAGATTGTAGCAATTGAAAAATGTATGTATCTGAGCCAAAATCAGATTAATTCCGATAAAATCTGTGCCCTCGGAGGTCTGTCTGTGTCGATAACCTGGGGCGGGCTGCAGCCACAATGGGTCCCTGCGCTTGGCAGCACGGAGGCTGAGCTGGCCGGGTTCCTCTCCGCGGTCACTAGTCCCCGCAGCTGTGACCCCGGTCCCAGGTCCTCGCGGTCTGGGAAACGGGGCGGAAGAGCTGGCTGTGCCTTTCTGGCGACGGAAGCAGGGAGAGAAAGGAAGTCGGCTGTTGTGTCCCATTTCTCTTCAGCATGCACCCTGTGCTGAGAAGGATCCACGGGTTGTAAGTTCTGACCCGTCCTGTGAACTAATGTGTGTTATCCCTGCTTGTGTTTGCATTAACACTGAGGTTTACAGGCTATCTGCAGAAATTGTGGACTACTTGATTGAGTTTCTGTGGTTTGTTTCTTCGACACTTTTTCCATTTTTTTTTCAAGCTACTTTTCATGCCCTTCCTTGTTGCCAGGCTGTCAGCGTCTGCTCTCGTCCACCCGTAGAGTGAGCGCCCTTCCGATGCCCAGTTTGCTGAGGCCGGTCTGCTAGGGCCTTTCAGTGCGCCAGCCTGACTCAGGCTGGTGGCCGCTGCCGCGCCCGGCTGCCTCTGAGGTGTGGGTTTGTGCTGCTAGTGCGTGCGAGGCTCTGAGCAGACACTGGTGGGCACGACTTTTATTTATTGTCCCTGCATGCGTGCACCTTGGAGTCCGGCAGGTTCTCATTTAAAGAGGGAAGTCTACACTATGTGCTCTAGTGAAAACTCTCAAACAACCCGAAACTTTTCCATCCGTAAACCGAATTCACTTTAAGTAAGGTTTTTCATCTGAGTAGTTTTCATGAGACTTTTCTAAAATGCTGCTTCAGACATTTCATCACACACTGGATGAAATGCTGGAAGGTGAATTTGAACTTGTGTCTACTCATTCCCAGCCCGGCACTTTTCCCATTACATTACGTGGCTTTTTAGGACAGTGTTGTTATGTAAAACGGACATAAAGATCTGAGGTAAAGTGGTGTAACTGCGAAAGGGAATATTGTATTGTCCTGGGAGTCTCTGTGTTCAGGATGTCTGTGTTCTTTTTTTATTATCATTATTATTTAAGATTTTATTTATTTACTTTTAGGGAGAGAGGGAGGGAGGGAGAAAGAGAGGGAGAGAAACATCAGTATGTAGTTGCCTTTTGAATGCCCCCTACTGGGGACCTGGCCCACAACCCAGGCATGTGCCTTGCCTGGGAATTGAACTTATGACCCTTCAGTTCACAGGCCGGCACTCAATCCACTGAGCCATACCAGCCGGGGCTGTTTCTGTTCTTTACGCTGGTTTTCTCCTTTAAGAGCGGCAGAAGCAGCTAGACATGGCTGAGAGGTCTAAATCTTTTGCATATTTTGTCTTCTAGTTTGTACCTGTTCAAACTAGGCCTGGCTCCTCAGATTCAAGACCTGTACGGAAAGGTTGACTTCACTGGTAAGGAGTTATAAGCCCGGCAGGAAATACCCAACTTATGTGGAAATAGCCTGGAGAGTCAACAAAATCAATCTTAGTGACGTAGTGCTTGAAAAATACCATGGCGACAGAGGTGAAAGAAGTATAAATAACCTGCTTCTCTGGTGTGGGTGGGGGAAGGAACACTGAACTTGGGATTCCGGGCTCCATTCTGTCCGTTACGACAGAGGGTGTGATTAGTGAGTCTCAGTCTTCCTACATCTAAACTGGGAACGATGGTAACATATAACGTATAAGAGAAAGCCTATCATAGGAACATGTAACGTTAAGTGTTCACGGGAAAAAACCCCGTGGCAGCCTCTCCCTGTCCCCTCCCGAGAGCAGCTGTCGTGGGCAAAGCGGGGATGGCGGGGGGGAGTGAGATGTGGCAAAGATGGTGATTTTGTAATTTTTAAATTAAAAAAAATGACATTCATTTAAAAATTTAGCTCATGTTTTAAAACTGATTGTAGAGAGAGATGGGAAGGAAAAGATGGAGACAGACAGACAGACAGAAACACCAGCTTGCTGTCCCGCTTGCGCACTCGCCGTTTGCTTCCTGTGCGTGTCCCCACCGGCATCACACCGCAGCCTCGGCACAGCGGGACGGCGGCTTAACCGACTCAGCTACCCGGCCCAGGCGAAAACGCACCTTTTTTTTTTTTTTTTTAAAGATTTTATTTATTTATTTTTAGAGAGGGAAGGGAGGGAGAAAGAGAGAGACAGAGAAACATCAATGTGTGGTTGCTGGGGGTCATGGCCTGCAACCCAGGCATGTGCCCTGACTGGGAATCGAACCTGCGATGCTTTGGTTTGCAGCCCGCACTCAATCCACTGAGCTACGCCAGCCAGGGCTGAAAACGTACCTTATGTAACATTAACACTCAGTTGTTTCAGCCTCCTCTGAGTGTTTGCTGCAGTCAGATGCTTGAAGAGATGGGGGCCTGTGTCCGTGGGGGGCAAGGACAGTGGTGATGTCGGTGAGGGGGAAGACAGAGCCAGATTTTTCCCACTGGTGATATTCCAGAGGCCTGGGAGCTGTAAAAATGGCAATAAAACTTTTTATCTGTGACGGTTTTCCCTCCAGGGAAGTTGTTCAGCAGACCCGGGGAAGGGCCCGACCTTGCCCATTGGTTTCCTGCCTTAGAAACGAAGTCGTAGCTAGTGGTTTGGGCCCTGGAGACCGAGATAGCCCACTGGCTCGTCACCGGTTCTAGCTGAGCTTCTGTGATGCGGCTCCGTTCAGACATTCACTGTGGGACGTGCCATGTAGGTAGCGGTTTTGAGAGCCTGGTGTCTGCGGCGCTGTTCTCATGCTGTGGTTATTTCTGAGGCTCTTGAAAGCAGCAGAAATAGTTCATGTCCGCCGAGCGCCCGTTGTGTGCCAGGTGCTGTGGTCAGGGCTCCGTGTGGACTAGGCCTTTTAACAGCTCTAGGGGGCGGATGCCACTTCGCCCCGTGTCTGTAGCTGCGGATTCGCCGTCCCCCTCTGCGCCAGGGGAGGTGCTCACCTTGGTGTCGTTCCCCCGCAGAGGAAGAGATCAACAACATGAAGATCGAGCTGGAGAAGTACGGGATCCAGATGCCCGCCTTCAGCAAGATCGGGGGCATCCTGGCCAACGAGCTCTCCGTGGACGAGGCCGCCTGTGAGCCAGAAACTTGGGGGGTTCGCACGGGTCATTGCTCCCGCTCCCAGTAATTAGCACTCTGATGATGACCTCGGGCATGAGGGGTTGTGCTAGCAAGTTTGGGTCAGTACATCCAGTTTTAGACACCGGTATAATCTTTTATGCCGTAATTAGTTGGGAATAAGTGATCGATTTTGATTACAATTCAAACACTTCGAGAGTGAGTTCTACATTTCAGTGCCTCTTTGAGATGATTATGTTTTTATGGCATTTACATGGTGATGAGGGGCGAGCATTTCCCTAACAAATGCTCCCTGCAGGGCTGTCTGGTGACTGTTTCCCTGCGAGTTCGCAAACCCGGCATCCGGCATCCGGAATGTGGAGCTGTGGCTTCCCGGCCCCAGGCGGCCACCCCCCCCCACCCCAGCCGCTGTTGCGCTGGGGAACCAGCCCCTCTCCGGATCGTGTGCTGCAGTGTGGCTTCTTCTGTGTGTGTAACCCGTATCCTTCACTCTGGATGACCTCAGCGCTCTGTGTTTGGAATTCATTTTCAGTGCATGCCGCCGTCATTGCTATTAACGAAGCCGTGGACCGTAGAATTCCAGCGGACACATTTGTAGCTTTGAAAAACCCCAATGCCATGCTCGTGAATCTCGACGAGACCTTGGCGTCCACGTACCAGGATGTCCTCTATCAGGCCAAGCACGACAAGATGACAAATGCTAAAAACAGGGTAAAAATGGAACCTCTGTTATTTATTCACACGCAGTAACATTCACCCCTTTAAGTGTGTGGTTCGAGGGGTTCTGACAGGTGTCTGTGGTTCCGTAGCCGTCACCCCCGAAGTCCCCAGGCCCGCTTCGCAGTCTGTCCCCCTCTCCTCACCCCCGAGCCCAGTCGGCTACCAGTCTGCTTTTATCCCTGTAGTTTTTCGAGACGTTCATAGAGATTAAGTGGACTAACCACAGCATGTGGCTAGTCTTTTGGCTGTGGATTGCACTGTGACTTCTACTCTCTCCTTCAGTTTCATGCAGACCAGCGAGAGGCTCCGAGAGCTGGTCCCCGTGGGCAGTTCTGCCCAGCGGGAGGCCGGGCAGGGTCCACCGGTGCCGCCCGGCGCTGGAGAACCCGGGCTCGTCCGTCGGAAGCGGACCTGGTCTTTTTGTCTTAGTTACGGCCGGGCAGCACTCCGCTTTGTTCTTGACGGAGCACTTTAAGCCACACTCGAACTCGCGCTCTCTCGGTTCTGTTACGGTGGGGGAGCAGCTCACGTGCATTTCCGGAGTCTCCTGGGAGCCCCGAGCTGACCTAACCACACCATCAATTCCCTTCCAGACAGACAACTCGGAGAGAGAGAGGGACGTCTACGAGGAGCTGCTCACGCAGGCTGAGATCCAGGGCAACGTAAACAAAGTGAACAGTGAGTAGGCCCCTGAGGCGGCCCGCGTCCCCGGGCGGGGCGGGGCGGGGCGGCTGGCTGGGGGAGGGGCCGCGCCCCGGGGGGCAGCCTCACCCCAGCGTGCTCGCCCTTTTGCTCCTCAGCGTTCTCTGCGCTGGCGAACGTGGGCCTGGCTTTGGACCGGGGGTCCGCCCCGGGCTTGCTCAGGGCCCTGCAGTCGCCCGCGCTGGGCCTGCGGGGCCTGCAGGAGAAGAACGGCGACTGGTACCTCAAGCAGCTGCTCAGTGACCGACAGCAGAAGCGACAGGTGGGGAGGCCCGGGCCCCGCCTGCAAGGGTTCACGCGCCTCCGACTGAATCACACGCTGTCACCGACTTAGGGGGCCCCTTTCTCCTGGTGTAACTCCACCCCCACGTGTAAACCAGGATTTTAAAATATCCCCCGGCAAAGCGCACGTTGTCGTCAGCTCTGTTTGGTTTTAGAGTTGTAAGTCCTCTTTTAAAGTAAATAACACCCGCGCTCCCGACCTAACTGCCCTTCATCGGAAGCCTCCCCTGGAACCCCCCCATCGGAAAGGAACGCCTTTGGAGGAAACCTGAGCTTTTTACGTTCTCACGTCAGGAACTTCCCCGTTAAAAACCCAGCCCCCGCTAGTGCCCTCTGGCCGGCCCGGGCGGGGGGGGGGGGCCCTCCCTGTGCAGGAGGAGGCTGTGAGGGGTTGTTCAGAGAACCTGCGAGGGGCTTTTTGTCTGGATGGGGCAAGCACGCATTTTACTAGTCCCAGCTGGTCCTGGCCAGAGGGAGCAGCATCGCCTGCCAGGGACCCTGCAAACACATCATCCCACGGCACCTTGATGCTGCTCTCAAAACGCTTCTTTAAATGTGCCGGTGCCCAGACGGTCCCTGCCCCCCGACGTGGCCAGGGCTGCCGCTTCTGCCCCGGGCCTCCCGTCCCGAGTGACTGCGCTGGGGGCTGGAGACCTCCAGGCCCCGAGGCAGAGGCGGGGTCGGCGTGACGCAGGCGCCGCTTGCTCCCCTCAGGGCGGCCAGGCCGAGCCTCTGCAGAAGGAGGACCTCCAGGCCGCCGTGGACGCCGCCAACAGCGCCGCCCAGCAGTATCAGAGAAGTACGGGCCCCAGAGAAGCGGGGTGTCCGGGGTCCTGAGCAGGGGAGGAGATGTAACCGGGGTCTGAGGTCGGAGCCCGTCACCTGTCACCTGTCACCCGTCACGCCCCCCGAGCCGCCTCGCCAGAACCCACCAGCAGGCGCCTGTGGCGGTGGGGCTCCTCCTGCCAGCGGCCCCCGCCAGCGAGAGGCCGGGGAGGTGGTGCCATTGGGATGGTGAAAGGGGAGAGAGAAGCACGTTGTTAACGTGGGGCAGCGGGGAAAGCGGGTGTGAGCACAGGGCCCGGAGGTGGAAGGTGTGGGGGGGACGCTGGCTGGAACACGGCTTCCGCCGACGGTTCGAGCTGGGCCGCTTGAGGCAAAGGCTGGAGGAGACCGTGGGAAGCTCCGAACGGCGGCTGAGGAAGCGGCTGCCTTGCTTGCCGGCCGCAGGGGAGGGGAGGGGTGTCCGGGTGGGGAGCAGCGTGGCTGCGGGTGATTTGGGGCGGGAAGAAGGCTCGGGAGAGGAGATGAGGAGGCTTTTTCAAGCGGTTCTGTCGGTCGGCTCACCCCCCCACGAAGCAGCCCGCACCGCAGGCGGCACGGCTGACCGTGTGCGCACGGGGTGTGACTCCGTCCTGGGGCGGCACGGCCCGTGGCTCCTCCCCGTCACGGTGCCCAGCCAGCCGCGTCCCTGACCCCGTTCCCCGCCAGGGCTGGCAGCCGTGGCGGCCATCAATGCCGCCATCCAGAAGGGCGTTGCTGAGAAGACCGTTCTGGAGCTGATGAACCCCGAAGCGCAGCTGCCCCAGGTGTACCCCTTCGCCGCCGACCTGTACCAGAAGGAGCTGGCCACGCTGCAGCAGCAGAGCCCCGAGGTGAGCCGGCGGGGCCGTGTGGTCGGGGGCGAGACGCGGCGGGAGGGGGTCGAACACCCACTGGGAGGGGTGGTTGGGGGCAGCGGGTCCGTTAGCCGGAAACCTAGGTGCCTCGTGGCTTTCTGCAATGTCTGCCCCCGCGGTGCGCCCGGATGGCTCTCCTCACGGCGGCCCCGTCCCCGTGTGTCCAGCATAGCCTCACGCACCCCGAGCTCTCCGTGGCGGTGGAGATGCTGTCGTCGGTGGCCCTCATCAACCGGGCGCTGGAGTCGGGGGACCTGAACACGGTGTGGAGGCAGCTGAGCAGCGCGGTCACGGGCCTGACCAACATCGAGGAGGAGAACTGCCAGCGGTGGGCGCCCCGAGGGGCCGGAGCCCGGGCGGGCGGGCGGGCAGCTGTCCCCACGCTCGTGCGTCCACTCTCCTCTCCTCGGCACGGGCGTGCGGCTCTCATGGGGTCATCTTTTCCTCTTTCTGTTTTCATCTTACACTTTTTACCCTGAGGGTTATAGTACATGGACAGACCCCCTGTCACTCCACTCCGAAACATGGGCGAATGTGGGTCTAAACTGTGAGGGCGTGTGCCGCGTGGCCGACAGCACGCTGCTCTGTACCCTGACAAACGCGGGGGGCTCCTGCAGCGTCCTCCCCGCCCCGCCCGCCCCCTGCGCCTCCTCACTAGTTCCGGGGCTCCTCCAGCTGCGGCGTTCGGGGGGAGCCGGGTCCCGGCCTGCATTCTGTCCAGCTGCTGTGTCCCTTTGGTGTCTTGTAATCCGGAACGGTCCCTTCCTTCCCGACACTGATTTGTTAGAGAGATGGGGTCAGTTGGCCCACAGAATGCCCCATCTCCGGGTTCTGGTTGTTCCCTAATACTTGTCTTATTCCCGCAAATCGGAAGTTAGGTCCAAAGGCTTTAAAGATTCGTTTGCACGTTGTTCATACGAAATCACTCTGCCATTAACAGTATTAGGATTGATCCTCGGGTCAGGCAGCCCGCTTATCCCTCCCACAGATACCTGTCTGTGTTTATCCCTCACCACAGCATAATCTCTTTTGCACCTTTGCCCCATGAAAATGTCCAGTTCCCCATTAACCACTGACTTCATATTTTTAACCCCAACTGGTAATTTTTGCCGAAGTCCGTACTTTCAGTAAGAGCCGCTGAGTGACTTCGTGTTGATCTGCCCTTCTGTCTGCATTTCCTGGCTGGGCTATGGCCTTGTCCTCCCGTCTTCGGAGGAACTGCTTGAGCTGCTGCCTCTCTCTGATCCTGGAATTGGTCTGACCTGGAATTTAGAGGCCGTTGAGAATAGGGGGTAGCCTCACGTTTCCACGTTTTTCTGCGGTGACTTCTCAGTCCCGGTGCTGGCCTCCGGAAGACGTCAGACTGGGGAGTGAACGCCTCGACCGTCGGGGCTCTTGGGTGCTTGGCCCCCGGTCTTCTCATCCGTGCCCCCCAGTAACCCCGAGGTCCCGTCTCTCATGTTGCACTTCACTGTCTTTTTTGCTGGGGCGCTGGGGCAGGTACCTCGATGAGCTGGTGAAGCTGAAAGCCCAGGCGCACGCGGAGAACAACGAGTTTGTCACGTGGAACGACATCCAGGCCTGTGTGGACCACGTGAACCTGGTGGTGCAGGAGGAGCACGAGCGTGAGTGACCCACGCGCCCTGCCCCCCCCCCCCCCCCAGCGTCTCCGTGGACGTTGGCGTGATTCCAGGGGCTGGCCCCAGACGCTCACTACTCCTGGAAGGGGTTTTGAAAATGGAAATATACATATATAAATATATAAATATATTAAAAAAAAAATATATATATATAGCAGACAACTGCTATAATTAGGTATGCAGGGGATAACTAAAATTTTCGGGAGGTGGGTTGAACGTGACCTGTCACGTCAGGTGGTCCTGACGGTGGCCACCTGCAGTCAGGTCACGTGGCACAGGTGCTCGCGGGGCTCCTGCCCCTTCAGACGGCAGCCGGAAGCGCCGGCGCGCTCAGGCCACCCCACTTGTGCGCGACACGCTGTGAATCCAGCGCCTCCCTGACCCACCCAGGCTCAGCGAGTTTGTAGACCGACTCACAGAACCCAGGGAAGTGCTGCACTTACAAGCGTAGTTTTACTGGAAAGGGTCTGAGTCAGGGCGGGCCAAAGGAAGAGACCCGCAGGGTGCCCTCAGCCTGTGCCACCCCGTCTGGTGGGGTGCCCTCAGCCTGTGCCGCCCCGTCTGGTGGGGTGCCCTCAGCCTGTGCCGCCCCGTCGGGTGGGGTGTCCTCAGCCTGTGCCACCTTCCCGCACGTGCAGGTGTGTCACGGCCAGGGAAGCTCTCCTTGGGGCGTCATTACACATGAACGATTGATTGTGTCACTGGCCATGTGATTGAACTTGACTTCCAGACCGTCTCCCCGCCCTGGAGATGGGGAGGGACGTGGGGAGCCTGGGCCAATACAGCACATGGCTCCGAGCCCCAGGCTTCTAGACGCTGGCAGGTCGCCGCGGTGCGGCCGGCCCCCGCCCTGGCCCTGCCGAGGGGCCCACCGTGAGGAACAGCGTTACCCTCTCTCTCACCCGGGAAGTTCTGGGGGTTCAGAGGCTCTTTCTCAGGAACCAGGGACAAAGACCAGCCCAAGTCTCTATTGCACAGGGGGTCCTTCGAAGGCAGCATGGCTGACTGAGACACTGTGGGAACGAACGTTTCTAGATTAGCTCATGTGTCCTGTGAGGGGCCTTCAGCCGCCTGAGTGGAAGGAGCCCTGCCTCGGAGAGGGAGCCCGGGCTGGGTCCTCCATCTGCCACTCGTCTGCGGAGGGTCTTGGGGGAGAGACCCCTGGGCCTCATCTTTTTTCCCCGGGATAAGATCGAATTAGGCGACTTTTTATGATCCCTTGCATTCTGACTCTTTGTAAATCGCGAATGGTTTGACTTCACGTGGACGTGCGTCTGCAGAGTGCGCCGCACAGCCAGGCCCACCAGCGCGTTCACGCTTTCGAGGCAGAGCCGCCACAAATAAGGCCGGGGGGCCTGAGCTGTCCGTAGGAATACGGGTACAAGGGCGTTTACTTCGAATGAAACGAACACTGAATTTTTAAAAGCCAGTGCTGCTCAGTGTCGGGGGTGACAGATTACAATTTGAATCACGGCAACGCTCCTGGGCGGATTTAGCCTTGCTTTGCACGTTTGAAGACGGACTTGCTTACAGAATTTCTCGACGGCACCAGTGACCTCTGTGTCTTTGCCGGCAGGGATTTTGGCCATCGGGCTGATCAACGAAGCCCTGGACGAAGGCGACGCGCAGAAGACCCTGCAGGCCCTGCAGATCCCGGCCGCCAAGCTGGAGGGCGTCCTGGTGGAGGTGGCCCAGCACTACCAGGACACGCTGATCCGGGCGAAGAGGGAGAAGGCCCAGGTGAGGGCGCGACTGGGGAGCGTTCCTGAGCCCCGAGGCTCGGGGCTCCGACGCGCAGCAGGGGCGTCTCCCCGAGCTGCCCGGCGACTCTTCCAGGGCAGGCTGCAGTGCAGCGCTCCGCCTTCTGGAGGCGTGGTTGTTTTTGTACACGTTTGGTTTTTGTTGTTGTTGTCGTCGTCGACAGATCTCTGTGTCTCTGAGTAAATTCTGTATTGAAATATAAGATTCAAGACGTGCATAACACACTGCGTAACTGGTATGCAGTTTATAGAAAGCATTAACCAGGCAGGGTACTCAGTTGGTTATAGCATCGTCCTGATGCTACAGCATCAGCCCCCAGAGCAGCCTGGGGCCCGAGGCCGCCTCTGCTCAGCGCCCTCGGTCCCCGCCGCCGTGAGAGTCCCCTTGGAGAGTGTCCGCTGTGTGGGGCAGTTTCCCGATCGTGAGCTGTCGGACACCGGGCAGTTCCCACTGTTTGGCTGTTGGGGAAGTGCCGCTGTGAACATGCCGTTGTAGCACAAAGCCGTGTTGGAGGGAGTTGGTCGTGCCTCTCAGCTAGTTTGCCGAGGAAATGGACGAGATTTATACCTTTTCTTTTATGCTGTTGCTGGGTCAGGAGTTAGTTTGTGTGTAGTCGGCCCTCAGATGCTAGTTGTGTGATGGAAGGACAAATACCTGTTTTTCTAATTATCATCAGTCTGCTTTTAAGTTCCTCCTGACTAACCGCAACTAGATAGGGAGGGATGCAGTGGGTTTTTTGTTTGTTTGTTTTTGTTTTAAAATATACTTAAAAGACCCCTCCAGTGAGGCTCTTGTAGCAAGAAGCAGAGCTGAAAGAACTTCTTGGTTCAGGGGGTCAGGTCTGTCTGGGAATCCAAAGGCAGAAACGCAGGCCAGGGCTTCTGTGTGAAAGGCACTGACACCCACGGCTGCGAGTGGAGGAGTCGTGGGCAAGAAGGGTGACAAATCTTCGGTTCCGTTGTCATCAGCGTCGTTGACGTTGCCGTGTCCTGATCCTGTCCGTGTGGCGAGTACTGGGCTCTCAGAAGGGGCCCGTGCGGGCGACCCTGTGGTGCGTGCGGGCTCGCGGCTCCTGCTTCGTGGCCGGGACTTGGCAGCGGGGTGAGCTGGCCCGCCCGCGCGGGCGGGAGGCGCTCGGCTGTGGGGAAGGGGTCGGCGGGGGCCTCTGTCTCTGGTAACCACGTTCGCATCAGTGGGCTCCGTGCTCCCCAGCCTTGGCCGGTCGTCGGAGCGCTTGAAAAGGTCATTTTAAAGACATAGATTCCGAAGATTCATACTCGTTCTGCTGACTCAGAGCCTCAGGCGGGGGTCTGCCGGCGGTGACTATGGGGGCGGGGGCGTGGTGGCAGGGTTTGCCGTTGCTGCCATACAGGTCCCACCCGAGTCCTGGGTGTGATGGATGGGGGGCGGGGGGGGGGTGCCTTCGGGCGAGCGGCCGAGGCCGGGTTCCACGTCTAAAAAAGGAAAGTGGACGGAGAGCGTAGTGGGCACCTGCCCTCGCTCCGCCGTGAGAGGATGTGACTAGACTCTGAAGCATTTCCTTCTGCTGTGGAACAGCCTCTCAGCGTCCATCACGGGCTGAGGAAGGGGGGCAATGCCTCTGACACCGCCGGGGCGGGACTGCACTGCACGCTCGCCGGAACTGCCGCCTTGGAGGCCTCAGCCCAGCTTCCAGGCTTCTCCGAGCCAGCTTGGAAGTGGTTTTAAAAATAATCCTCTGAGTTCCAAATTAGCCAGCAAAAGGCCTTACAGCTGGCCTGTAGTTCTCTGTGTGTCTGCTTCAGTATCAGGGTACTGCTGGCCTCCCAGAATGAACTGGGAAGTTCTCCTTCGTCCTGTGTGTTTGAGAAGAGTTTGTCCAGGGCTGGTCTTGATTCTCCTCCAAATACGTGGTGGAATTCACCAGTGACGCCATGTGGTCCTGTGTTTCTGGTTTTATTTTTTCGTAGGGTATGTTTCGATTATCATTCCATCTCTGTATTTGTTATCGGTCTTCTCAAATTTCCCTCAAGTCATCTTCCTGCCTCTCTCTCTCCCCGGACCCCTGGGAGTCCCCTCGTGCCTGTGTCGGTGTGACCGACGGTGTCTCGGGTCCCTGGGGCTTGGCTCACTTCCCTTCATCCCTCTTCCCTGCTGCTCCTCGGGCCGGGCCATCTCAGTGGGCTCACGTCGGCTGCGCCCCTCTCGGGACTTTTTCATTTCAGTTTCCGTACTGTACGACACCAACGTTTCCTTCGATCCATCGTTTCAAAGCACGATTCCTGTCTCTCTGTTGCTGATGCTCTGGGGAGACCCTGTTCTCCCATCCTTTAGTTCTCTGAACATACTTAAAGCAGCTGATACAAGTCTCTGTCTACCATGTCCAGTTGGGAAAATTTCTGTCACCTGCTGTCTCCTTGTAGGGACCACGCATTCTCATGTCCGTGCGTGTCGTGTCGTTTGTGGAAACTGGGCGTTTTCACAGGGCAGCCCCGAAATCAGTGTCCTCCTCCTCCTCCGCGCCCGCTGCTGTCTCTCTCACTGTCGTTATTTGTCTGGCCACTGGGACTTCCGTGGCGTCTGTGCCCTTCCTCACGCATGTCCACGGGGTCTCTGCGGGTCCGCTGGTGGTCCGCTGATGGTTCGACGGGCACTCCCTTAACATTTCCCAGGGTTCCTTCCCAGGCTGGTCCTCTGGTCCCTTCTGGCTGCTCTTGGCCCCCTGAACCACTTGAGTTCCTCTTTGTGTTTTTATCGCTTTATCCGAGGCGTTTCTCGTAACCTTTCACCAGTTTTCTGAGGCCCAGCTTTTTCCACGTGGCTGTTCCACGTGTCTCGCGTGCTTGGCTGAGACTCAGAAGCCCCTCTGTCGCATGTGCCCTGATTTCACGGCTCTTACTATCATTTCGCTTTTCGTGGCTGTAGGAAACCCAGGACGAGTCGGCTGTACTGTGGTTGGATGAAATTCAAGGCGGGATCTGGCAGTCCAACAAAGACACCCAGGAGGCCCAGAGGTGTACGTACCGGCGGCTTCCTTTCTGTTCCGGGGGGGCGGGGGGGGGCGGGGGGGCCACTCCCGGCCTCGTCCCTCAGCCGGACCGATGTGGAGACCTGTCCGTGTCTGGGGAACGGCTGGGTGGGAGGCGCGTTTAGGTGGACCAGCGTGTGAGTGTGGGTGCTTCCTGAACCATCCCGGTGACAGTCGTCTTCCACGACAGTTGCCGCAGGAATCTTCGCCATCAACCAGGCCGTGGAGAGCAACGACGTGGGCAGGACGCTGGGCGCCCTCCGGTCCCCGGACGTCGGCCTGTACGGCGTCATCCCCGAGTGCGGGGAGACGTACCTGAGCGACCTGGCTGAGGCCAAGAGGAGAAAGCTGGCGGCAGGTGAGCCACGGGGGCACACGCGTGTGCCCTGGACCGAGGCTTGGGCGTGTGAGGGGACGGTGCAGACGCAGGGACAGTCTGTGTGGAGGGAGGGACACTTCCGTGCGGAAGTGCGGTATTTGGGCTTCTTTTAAACACTCGAGGAGACATTGATATCCCTGTTTTTGCAAATACACTTTTTCCCCTTACGGTCAGCTGTGTTTAAAGAGGTCAATTTTATGGAAATGCAGGAAGGGTCAAAAGAGGCATTCGACTGTTTATCTTCCCCTGGGTGTCAGGAGCTCCTGCGGTTCCTGAGCCTCCAGGTAGATAAAAGTAGTTTGTCTGCAAAAGGAGGGAACAGAGATAAAATTCTTCATCCCTTTATATGACCTTTTTTTTTACTAACTAGAGAGGTGAAATGGTTGCAGATTTTTTAATCAAAAAGTAGTGTTCTGATACATGAAGTAATAGACGTTGTTTTTGGAAGGAACAAAGCTAATCAAAGTTTATTCCACAATCGGACTTTGTAGCTATTTTCTTTTTGTAATGTAGATGGGAGTGAGCTAAACGCAACATCACAAGGCCATAATTCATGAGGAAATTAGGGTGCCCCTTTGTCCCCATAGATCCAAGGGCAGGAATGTGGAGTGGGCTTTATTTAGATTGTAAAGCTCATTGGAACCGTCTTGCAGCAGGCGTGCGAGTGCGGGGAGTGCGGCTCTGGGTCTCTGTAGCCTTCCCTTCCTTGTCTGCCAGGCGATAACAACAGCAAGTGGGTGAAGCACTGGGTGAAAGGCGGATACTACTATTACCACAACCTGGAGACTCAGGAAGGAGGATGGGATGAACCCCCAGGCTTTGTGCAAAATTCTCTGCAGCTTGCTCGGGAGGAGATCCAGGTAGGTCCCGTTCCTTCACCTAAGAGGAAGCTGTGTTAAAAAGTGGGTTAGGGCTAATGTTAGCGAGGAGGAGCAGGGCGTGCGGTCAGGAGCCCCAGACTGAAATTAAGGCGACATAATCAACTGTTTCAGAGTAATTACTTTTCTAGTGGCTAGGGGAAGGACTAAGACCTAAATCAGGAAAACACCAGGATTGTAGAATTAAGTCAGGTACATTGTGTGCCTATTAAAACTTGGGTGATCTGGAAAACAAAAATGAAAAGTTGCTCTAACTCCCAATTAAATGCAGCTAATGTTAATCCCTCCCACTTTTTACGCTTTCACCCTCTCTTCTGACTGTTCCACACACTCCGAGCCGCGCCGCAGTAGGCCGCACCTGCTGCACCTGTGCGTTCAGATGCAGCCTGGCCGCTTCCCTGTAGTGTCCTCCACGGCCGGCTTGCCAGGGGCGCCCGGGACTTGGTGCTCAGCCCTCTGCTGGCCCCGTTACTCTGTCTTCTTGTCAGCGACGACCCAGGCACGGTCCCTGGTGCCGTCAGCGTTGGGCAGATAGATGAGTGGGTACGCAGGAGGTACAGGATCAAGGCTCTGGCTGTGGCGTGTTGGGGCGTGAGGACCACCTGGCCGTGGAAAACGGGCCTGGCGTCTTTCCCGCTGCTCAGAGGTCGAGGACGGGCTGGGAAAGCAGCGGTGAGGGCTGGTGTGTGCGCTGCGGGCGGCCCCGTGTTGAACCTGTGTCCCCTCCCACCTGTGCACGTCCTCCCGCGTGGCCGCGTGCTCCTCCAGAGCTCCATCTCCGGGGTGACAGCTGCCTATAACCGAGAGCAGCTCTGGCTGGCCAACGAGGGCTTGATCACCAGGCTGCAGGCCCGCTGCCGCGGTTACCTGGTCCGCCAGGAGTTCCGGTCCAGGATGAATTTCCTGAAGAAGCAAATCCCTGCCATCACCTGCATTCAGGTACTTCGGGGCCCAGAGCGCAGACAGCCCACCTGCGGGTGGGCGCCCGGAGCAGGGCGAATGCACGGGAACCGTGAGCGAGGAACGACGGCCCCTGCCCGCCGGTTTGCTCCTCAGAGTGGGGCGCCGGGTCTCTCTCCCTCAGCGGGTCTGCTGGGCGGAGCCAGCACAGAGCCGCGTGGAGGCACTTCTGAAGGGTGGGGAGCGCCGGCAGGGCGGGGCCGGGGCTGGTGCTCGGCTGGTGGTGGCGCAGCCTCCGCCTGCGTTCCCGTCCCTGGAGGACGAGGCCCTCCAAGCTTTGCTGTGAATTGCACTCGGGTAGTGCATCAAGAGGAGACTTCTCGGCGTCCTCTGACCCTTGGAGATAACGGGCCCGCTGTCATGTTTGATGGTTTCAGTCGCAGTGGAGAGGATACAAGCAGAAGAAGGCCTATCAGGACCGCCTAGCGTACCTGCGCTCCCACAGGGACGAAGTCGTGAAGGTACGCCGCCCGGGCAGGGTCCCCCGGCGTGGGGTGCAGTGCGCCCGGGGTGGAGGGGAGGACGGTTACGACTCCTGGGGCCCTCCTCCCACAGATCCAGTCCCTGGCGAGGATGCATCAGGCTAGAAAGCGCTACAGAGATCGCCTGCAGTATTTCCGAGACCACGTGAGTGCTTTCTGGTAACGAGGGCCGGGAGACTCTGCTTTGCTGTGTTTTGGGTGGACGAATGACCAGGAGAATTTCTCCTTCTTTGTTCCTTAGATAAATGACATTATCAAAATCCAGGCGTTCATCCGGGCGAACAAAGCTCGCGACGACTACAAGACTCTCAGTGAGTAGCGGTGGCCCGGCGGAGGAGGAGCTGAGGCCGTCGGGTTCTGGGTCTTCTCCGCGGATCTCTTTCCTTTCCTGCAGGCAAGGCTTGGGGGCGGGCGCTGCTTGTGACCTAACCCCCCCTGCTCACCTGTGGCCCCGTGCCCTTTCCCTTGCGTGTTGGCCCTTGTCACGGCATAGCAACAGCATGACCGAGAGGACTGCATGTGGTGGTTGTGTCTGCACACCTCAGAAATGAACAAGTATCTGTGAACGCGACTGTTTCTTCCAGGCGGTTTCTCGAGCCCTAGAACTCTCCCCGGGAACGTCACTCTTGGTCTGACACGCGCTTTCTTTCCGCCAGTTAACGCCGAGGACCCTCCGATGATCGTGGTGCGGAAATTTGTGCACCTGCTCGACCAAAGTGACCAGGACTTTCAGGAGGAGCTGGATCTCATGAAGATGCGGGAGGAGGTCATCACCCTCATTCGCTCCAACCAGCAGCTGGAGAATGACCTCAACCTCATGGACATCAAGATCGGACTGCTGGTGAAAAACAAAATTACCCTGCAGGTACAGTGTGCTTCCCCTGCTGACTCGTGGTGGGGCGGAGGCCGGCTTTCTTCTCAGCAGCTGCCATAGGTCTTTCAAAAGTTATATAAGACATGAAATACTCTAACTTCATAGCAAAATTTTAAATAGAGAAAAGAAGATAAAAACCATCCCATAATTCCACTACCCCACCATCATTTTGCATACTACATTTTAACTTAATGTTAAAGGATAAAATGTTTTCCATATGATAGTCGTAAATATTATTTTTAATGGCAGCATTATAATTCATTAGAAGACACACTATAATTGACATCTTTGGTTTGCAACCATTTAACAGGTTTTCGTTACTACAAATAACATGGCAGTTAATGCCTCGGTGTACATGTAACTTTTATTGTAGTTAAAGCTTCGCTTTTCAGATAGATTCCCAGGGGCTGGTTTGTGGACTCAGCAGGCGTTGTTGCGGGTCAGGGTCTTCACAGGGCGGTGGACGCAGGACCGCATCTGAGCGGCGCGCAGAGAGTGGGACCCGGGGCAGCAGGGCCCACCAGTGCGGCGGGAGGCCTTCCCGCGGGGCCCAGGGCTCCGTCTCTGAGAGCTTTCTGACGTGTGTGGCGGTGTTTTCTGTGTACAGGATGTGGTGTCCCACAGTAAGAAACTGACCAAGAAGAACAAGGAGCAGTTGTCGGATATGATGATGCTCAACAAGCAGAAGGGAGGCCTCAAGGCTCTGAGCAAGGAGAAGCGAGAGAAGCTGGAGGCTTACCAGCACCTGTTCTATTTGCTGCAGGCAAGTGGCGCCTGGGAGCGGCGCCCCCAGGCCTGGCTCGGTCACTTGGCGTGACAAAGCCTCACCTGCAGATCCCTGTGCAGCCGTTTCTGCTTCCCACTCAGCAGTGAGCAAAGAGCTCTCTTGTCTTTCTGTCTGTCTTTACATTGCCTCTACTTCCTCACTCAGATGCATTCTAATCCTTCACCTTAAAAAAGCCTTGAATGTTTTTTCCAGCCTTTACATGATCTGGTAGAAGTGACTTCTCCCTTGGTTTTGTTTCAGACCAACCCCACCTATCTGGCCAAGCTGATTTTCCAGATGCCCCAAAACAAGTCCACCAAGTTCATGGACTCGGTGATCTTCACCCTCTACAACTACGCCTCCAACCAGCGGGAGGAGTACCTGCTGCTGCGGCTCTTCAAGACGGCGCTCCAGGAGGAAATCAAGTAGGGAGGCGCCCGCTGTCGGAGGCGCCCAGCGAGCGGGAGAGTCGGGCTGCCTTTCCGTCAACTCGGTTAACGCTGTGACTTGTGTGAAACACTCGGAAGAAGCTTCCGCTTGTTAAATTACTAACATAAAGTGTCGCCCCATCTGGGGAGGTGCCGAAATGATGCGTTCGCTAAATTAATTTTAGGGACATTTCCACATTAAAATAGATGGAGTCTGCAGCAGCAGAAAGGTGCTCCGGGTTCAGACGAGGGTCGGCACATCTCCCAGAGAAAGAACAAGTGCCTCCCTCCCCGCCCACCTCCGCTGTTCCTGCGTCCGGGGATGGGACGGTTAAGTGGGAGGGATCTCGACGCTCTTGCATCCTGCGGCTGGTGTAAACCGAGTTTGCTTCTGATGTTTTCATAGGTCGAAGGTGGACCAGATCCAAGAGATCGTGACGGGGAACCCCACAGTCATTAAGATGGTTGTGAGCTTCAACCGCGGCGCGCGGGGCCAGAACGCCCTGCGGCAGATCCTGGCCCCGGTCGTGAAGGAGATCATGGACGACAAGTCTCTCAACATCAAGACCGACCCCGTGGACATCTACAAGTCCTGGGTCAATCAGATGGAGTCCCAGACGGGAGAGGCCAGGTGCGGCAGCCGTGACCCCCTTTTCTGCCATGTTTTTACACAATTTTCTCTCTTTTTAAAAGCAGTTGACCTTCGATGTACAAACGAATAATTGTTCAAATAGTTTTCCCTTAAGAAACCTCTTGTTCAGATCGTCGACCTGCTCGTGTGTTCACGGAGCTGGAACTTACGGCCGTGTGCCAGGCACCGTGTCAGATGCGCGTCCCACTAACACTGCAGTGATGAGTGAGGCGGCTCCCCGCCCTCTCTGTAGCTCGTTGTCGCACGGGAGCGAGGGCAGAGCTGGAGGTCGAGGACGTGCTCACGGGGCCTCGTGTAGGGCACTGGCTGGGCGGGGCCGGAGGGAGCTGACTTGGGCCGTGGGCGGGGGGAGCGTCTCTGAGAAGGCGGAATGAGAAGGTGGAAGTCCACCTCACTGAGACCTGACGGAGAAGATGGGGCCGCCCTGCCAGGAGCGAGGCCCAGAGCCTTCAGTCCGAACGCTGTCTGGTGCAGGGCGGGCGGGTTGCAGGACCCGACAGGACACGGGCGTGGCCAGAGCTGCAGCTGGGCTGGCAGTCTTGAGCAGATGGGATGCGGTCCTTGTCTGGTGCAAACAGAGGAGGAGGAGGAGTGGGCTGAGGGGTGCGCTGCCCTGGGGTGCTGGGGGCTGGACGGGCTCAGCTCACAGGACTCGGGAGACCCTCTGCCGCGCTGTGTGGTCTGACCACCGGCCTCAACACACGGAAAGCAAGTGTGTCGGTAGAATACGGGTCATGCTGGGCAGGTACAGTTCCGAGGGCCAGACCGCTTCTGGGTTTATCCGGCCGGGCGAGGGTGCAGGGGTGAAGGGCGGAGGCGTGAGCGGCCGAGTGAGTCCGTGCGGGTGTCTCCTTGCTCTGGAGCGGAGTGGGGGGCGCCCTCCGGACCAGCGGCGGACCGGGAACCAACAGTCGTTGCCTTCACTGAGCGCCTGTGGAGCCCAGCTGCCTGTGTCTCGCAGCAAGCCTCTCTCTGTGGTCGATTTGGGCGGGATTCTTGTGTTCGTCATCTGCCCGTGCGTGTGAGTCGGCGATGGGCCGACGGAGGGAGGGGTGTCCCGGTCTTCTTGCGCCGGTTGCCTAGAGCTCCGCGGAGGGATGACCGCGCGTCTCGGGCTCCCTCTAGAGGCTGAGGGCGGGATTGTTCCTTGCCTCTCCAGCTTCGGGTGGCCGTCGCGGTGCCTGAATCAGTGCAGTCTCTGCCTCCGCGGTCACCCTGTCTCCGCTCCTTTGCGGGCCACGTCTCGTCCGCTCCCTCTCACTAGGACTCTGGGCTACCCCCGCCCCCCGCTTTCCTCGAGCTCGGTGCCCAGTCTCTGGGTGTCGCGTCAGCTCGTCGGGCTTCAGTGCCTGTAACCGTCGCCTCCCTCCGCGGTGCCCACACGGCCAGCAGGGCCAGTGGTTGTGTTGCCTTTCTCTCTCTCCGCTCTGTCTCCCTGGGCCCCACCCTGCATCCCCGACCGCCCTTCTGTAGCGTCTGCCCCCGACCTCGGACCTGCTGTCTTTTCACGGCTCTCCCCGGCGTCCTCCCCGGGCCCCACAGGACCCGGCCCTGCCCCCTCTCCCACCCTCGTTTCCACACCTCGCTTTCTTTGCATTTGATCTTCTTTCCCAGGAGACCCTCCATCCTTCTTCCTCAGCCCAAATGTCCCTTCCTCCGGGAAGCCTTCCTCGGTTCCTCCAGTCTCAGGCGAAGCCCCTTCGGTGGCCCCACGGCTCTTGTGGTCAGCCTCCTACGTGGGGCACAAAATGTTTAAATAAATACCTGTTCGTGCGTCTCTCCCTCCTGATAGTAAGAGACTCAGGAAGCAGTCCTGTCTCTTACCTTTAATTCCAAGTGCCCGTCATAGTGCCTGGCACACAATTCAAGGCACCCGGGCAAGCGTGACAAGTTGCCTAATCCCTCTGGTCTTTGTGTGGGTGAAAGACAGGGCCCCTGGGGTGCTGCCTCCGGCGCCGCTGGCGTTCGGGCTGGCGTCACTGAGGGTCCCCTCTGCTTTCCCAGCAAACTCCCCTACGACGTGACTCCCGAGCAGGCGCTGGCCCACGAGGAGGTCAAGACTCGGCTAGACAACTCCATCCGGAACATGCGGGCCGTGACCGACAAGTTCCTCTCGGCCATCATCAGCTCCGTGGACAAAATCCCGTGAGTGCGCCCGCTGTGGCCCCGCTTAGAGCCCCGCGCCAGGGCCCTCGCGCCCCCGGCCCTTCTCACGGGCTTGTCGCCCTCACAGCTACGGGATGCGCTTCATCGCCAAAGTGCTGAAGGACTCGCTGCACGAGAAGTTCCCCGACGCCGGTGAGGACGAGCTGCTGAAGGTGAGCCCCCGCAGGCTGGCGCAGCCTTGCCTTCCGGCAGCACTGAGGAAAGGATGCCAACCTGGGCCTGACCAGAGACCTTTTAGTGCTGCCTAAGCGTAGGTGCTGGCAGCAGCTCGCCATGGGTGGTGAGATTTTGAAAGCCACTATAAATCATGAATGACACCTCCCTGAGTTTCTGAGGAGTTTGAATGGCCCACACCCCACAAGTCTTCGTGTGGTTTTTTTCTGTCTGGAGATAAAAGTCCAAGTCCTGTCTTTGTGCTGGACAGTTGCTCCCCCTGCTGGTGGCCGGGTGAATGGGAGCAAGCCCCACGGTTTCTGCTAAGGCTGTTGCTGGTAACTGTCTCACTTGGCTGTGCTCCTTTCTTTCTTTTTTTTTCCCCCCTCTTAATCTGAATGCCTTTTTCTTCTCTCTCCTAGTTCTGTGCTTTCCTACAGTGAGGCCTCGATTCTAGACTTTCTCTTCAGGTGAATTAATTTTTTTTGAACGATACTTGAGGGAGGATGCTGTGACTGTCCTTGAATCTTCTGTGGGAGAGTCGTGTGTTGAGTGACTCTAATTTCAGACGCATGACCTTGGCCACCTCGGGCGTGTGCAGCATGAGGACGCTGGGGGGTGGACAGCGTGTGCTAATGAGGCCAAGTTCAAGGGTTGATGGTGACTGTATTTGTTAGCCTCTTAGAACGAAAGCCCGCCCATGGGAAAGCGAACAGTGTGCATGGCGACAGGCAGGCCTGCTGCCGTGGTGCGTGAGCAGAGGGTGCCCTGACCTGCTCAGGACCAGGCGCCAAGCCTCAGTGCTGCCTTCTGGATCTGTGCTTTCCCTGCAGTGGTTTTCGGTCCCATTCCCGTTTTCTTCCTTTCTGCATCCAAACTAGGGGCGTCTGTCTGGCCGTGCGGGCTCAGGCCTTGAGAGGCCGTGTGTGTGCGCATGTCTGCATGTGTGCCTGTGCGGGCAGCGTTCGTGTTTTTACTCACAGGGCTGCGTCGTCTGGTTTTCTTGACTGTCGCGGAGCCATCTGCGGCTTCCTCGGTGGGGTGGCCCTCAGCACCGGTCTTCCTCTCTCTTCTGCTCCCAGATCATTGGCAACTTGCTCTACTACCGCTACATGAACCCGGCCATCGTCGCCCCCGACGCCTTCGACATCATCGACCTGTCGGCAGGCGGCCAGCTCACCACGGACCAGCGCCGGAACCTGGGCTCCATCGCCAAGATGCTCCAGCATGCGGCTTCCAATAAGATGTTTCTGGGAGATAACGCTCACTTAAGCATCATTAACGAGTACCTGTCCCAGTCCTACCAGAAATTCAGGTGAGGGGAGAGGGGTCGGCGGCTGGAAGGGCCCTGCAGGGGCGTTTCTGTCGCCGAGGGCAGAGTCGGGACTGAGAGCCTTGCCTCGCTCTCCGTGCCCGGGCTGCCGTGGGGTAGGGGCTGCCGTGGGGTAGGGTCCGTGGGTGCCGAGCTCAGGACTCCGGGAGGTGCTCTGTGAAAGTGTGTTCCTGTAAAAGAGACGGCACCGCACGGGAAGACAGGGGGTTCTGCCTCAGGCACATGTCACGTTGTAACCAGGGAGGGGTCGCAGAGCACTCTCGGTAGTCTGTAGATTAAACATGCAGTTGTGAGCTCCTGGCACCACGTGAGAGACAGAGCTCCTTCTCCTGCCAGCTCTCCGGAGCTGGTGGGCGGGGTCCCGTGGGTGGAGCTGACATGGGGCGGGGGGCGGTGCTGGGAGAGAGGGTCCCAGAGCCAGCATCCCCGAGGGCCTCCAGCACCGCGGACACGCGGCTCTTTTCTTTGGAATTGACGGTCTGCACCGGCTTCTGCCCGGACGCGACGCAGCAGCGGTTTGCGGGACGCCCGCTCGCCGGCTCTCACTCCTGTCGGGCCGTGGCTCTCGTGTTTCTCCCCAGGCGGTTTTTCCAGGCTGCTTGCGACGTCCCGGAGCTGCAGGACAAGTTTAACGTGGACGAGTACTCGGACCTCGTGACCCTCACCAAGCCCGTCATCTACATTTCCATCGGCGAAATCATCAACACCCACACGGTCAGCCTCTCCCTTTAATTACTTAACGCCGGGGCCCTGCCCCCACGGCCTCCCCCGGCTGCGCCCTCCTCTCTCCGGAAGCCAGATTACTCACCGTCCTTGATCTCACTGCCTTCCCGTCTGCCTGCAGCTCGGCGTTCTTAACGATACCCACCAGGTTTCTCAAAGTGACCCCGGCCGCCTGCCGCAGAGCCTGCCGGGCCAGTTGTTAGAAGTGGGGTTGCTCAGCCCCGCGCAGGCCCCTGGGCCAGAGCCCGCACGCTGGACGGCAGAACCTCCCCGGGGAGCCCCGCCCTGGGGCCCCGACGGAGCTTTCACCACCCTTTGCTCGGGGCTGTTGCCCTCACGAGAACAGAGCATCAGCAGCTCCCTCCGTGTTGCCTTAGAGTTCTTTTCCCTTGGGCAGCCCCTTTTCCCCCAAATACTTGGTACCTCGGTCCTTGCCCCCCTTGCCGACGCATAGAACAGGACACGAGAAGGCACGCGCAGTGTCGGGGAAACGCTAGGTGTTGTCACTTCCGAGGCTGTCACCCGGGCTCATGGCAGCGTGGGGGCCCTGCTCGGCGTGCCCCCGGACCACGGCAGCACCGACGGGCGCCCTGCTCTCGGGGCCGCGGGCACCGCGTGCTGGGGGGGCAGGGCTGCGCGTGCTCTGGCCGGGTCGTCAGGCGCCCGGGTGGCTTTGGGTGTGGGGGTCTGTGGGCTGCCTTGTTCTCTCCCCACGGGGTACTTGTACCCCCAGGGCTGAGAGAGCACCGTTGTTTTCTGTCCACCTGTTGTGAGCCGTTCCACGGAGGCCAGGTGGAGGGGGGGCTGCGGGGGGCTGGTTCGTCGGCTCTTCGGGGGCTGGAGCACCGCTGCTCTCTGCTCTCCTTCCCTGCCGGTCAGCGGCGCGGGTGGGGGCGGGGCCGGAGGGCCGAGCGTGCAGAGGGAACCAACCCCTCCATGTCCGGTGCAGCTCCTGCTAGACCACCAGGACGCCATCGCCCCGGAGCACAACGACCCAATCCACGAGCTGCTGGACGACCTCGGCGAGGTGCCCACCATCGAGTCCCTGATAGGTGCGTTCCCACCTGCCCGCCCCGGGTGCGGGGGGGCGGGGGCTGTGACAGAGCAGGGGGAGGGAGAAAGAGAGGGAAACATCAATGTGCGAGAGACACACCGATTGGTTCCCTCTCACACACCCCCAGCTGGGACCTGGCCCACGTCCCACGCATGTGCCCTGACCAGGAATCAAACCAGCGACCCTTTGGTTCGCAGGCCAGCGCTCAATCCACTGAACCACAGCAGCCAGGGGAAGCGGTCATTGTAAATGTGTATAACATACATGGATCATTTAATTAGAACTTGTAAGCCCTGTAAAAGAAATGCACAGAGAGAGAATTATACTGCAGTGTTGAAATGATCACCAGACGTTTATGGAGTTGCTGCGTGACGGACCCTCCACCTGTATTGGCACGTGTTTCCCTGTGTTGCTCGGAGAGTGTGTCCTCGCCCCCGTGCACGCGCCGGCGTGTTCAGGGATCTCCTTGGACTCCCGCGACCTGCTCCTTGTGCTTGTATCTCCTGCCCCTGGCTCCTGCCTCCACTACACTCATTCTCTCCACCCCCCTCCCAAACTTCAGGAGAAGGCGCTGGCAACTTAAATGACCCAAACAAGGAGGCGCTGGCCAAGACGGAAGTGTCTCTCACGCTGACCAACAAGTTCGACGTGCCGGGGGACGAGAACGCGGAGATGGACGCCCGGACCATCTTACTGAAGTGAGCACGGAAGCGGGGGCTGGAGAAAACACGCCAGTGGCCCCTCGGCCCCGGTGAACGGGTCTACTTGTTCCCTCCTGACACGAGCGGCCACCGTGGCCTGGCATGCCTGTCGTGATGGCGGTCACCCCACGTGTAACGTGTGCCACGGGGCTTACCTGCCTTTTTGCCGACGAGATGCCGAAGCGACACTGACGTCGTGGAAATCCTGGCCCCGGCAGCACCCGCCCGCTCCCTTGCAGCCGCGGGATTGGGTCGGGGCCCGGGGCCTGGCGCTGGCAGCTGCCCAGCGGGACCTCTGGGGGCGGCGTCTGTGCCTCCGCTGCTTACGTCCATTGAGAGGAAGAAGAACGCCTGGCGATGAATATTTCACTGTTTCCTCCATTTCCTTTCAGCACAAAACGTTTGATTGTGGATGTCATCCGGTTCCAGCCAGGAGAGACCTTGACTGAAATCCTAGAAACACCAGCCACCAGTGAGCAGGTAAAGTGTGGGGGTGCGGCACACACCGCACGAGGCGCAGAGATGCTCCTGTGCTGCGGGGAGGGGGACGCAGGGGACGCAGGGGACGGGAGGTGGTGGTGGCCTGCGGGCAGACGCGAGGCTGGGGGTGGTTCAGGCTCGTTGAGCGGCACTTACATGGGGGGGGTGTGTGTGTGTGTGTGTGTGTGTCTAACTTTAACCTGGGGCAGAATCAGTGTGTCTGCCCGGTGATTTATTGAATTCTATGTAGTTATAACTTTAAGTGCCGTGGTAGATGGAATAAAAGTACAGGATGTGGCTCCTAAACTCAACAAATTCCTGATCTGGTTGGGGAAATGTGGTACATATGCCAGAAACAATTAGGAAACCTTTTAAGTTTAACTGTAGTGTTGGCTATAAAAATGCCGAAAGTTCAGGAAAGCGGCCAGTGAGGGGCTCAGCCACGGGAAGAAATGGGGCTTGAACCCACTTAGGAAGAAGGGCTGGGCTGCGGCACCGGCGGGGGCCCCGCAGGCAGGGGCACGGGGGAGGGGCGGGGGGCGCGCCTGGGCCGGGTCCCTGGAGCGAAGGCCTGGGTGCGGGGGAGGGGCTGGCATCGACAACAGATGACGCGGAGCCTCAGCCCCGGGCACACGCTTGGCACCGGTCAGGGCTCAAGAGCCTCTGTGACCTCGGGGACCGTTTCATGCCGATTGGTTCGGTGGTGCCCTCAGAGCAGCTGGGTGGGGCGGCGGCAGAGCAGTGAGGTGCGGATGAGCCACTCTGCGGTCAAGACCCCTGCCTCCGGTTCTCATGAAATGGGAAAAGTAGGGCACGTGATTTGTTCCCAGATTTTGAACACAGGAATCCTTTCCGTTAAGTGACAGTTGCCTTGGGAGCCACATATATAATGTGGGCTAAGCAGGAGCTGCTCTGACAGCAGCAAGACTGGGGCCCCGGGAACCCGCCCACTGGGACTCTGTGGCCCCATGGGTGTCCCTTCGGGCTGCACAGGGGACTGTTTAAAAACCACGGTTTTAAATGAATTTTCCGCTTTTAGAAGCTGTGATTGATGACTAAATAGGTAGATGCGTGTGGGGGACGAGAAAAGAGGAAAGGAGACATAAGCAATAACTGCGACCTGCTTCACCTACACGGAAGTTACGGGTGGGGGGGCGTCTCTCCCGAGAACGTGGTGCTGGTTTGGTGCCGCCAGCCATGTTCTCCCATCTAATCCTCGCACCTTCCCTGCGAGGCGCGTGCCCTCGGCCTCATTTGACAGTGAGGAGGCTGAGACCCTGCGAGGGGACTAACCGGCCCCGGGTCCCCTGCCTGTAGCAGCAGAACCAGACTGGGACCCGGCCGTCTGGCTCCAGAGTCCAGGGTCTCTGCCTTCTGTGGTGTGGAGTTGCCTGGACACTAGGGGGCGCACAGGCAGCACGGGACAGGGACATGCCCCCTTGTAGGGGGGTCCCAGCCACTCCAGTGGGGCGTCCCAGCGCAGACAGCGCCGACCATGGCCCTGGAGCTTTGTTTAGTGGCAGAGGTTTGGGGTCCCTCAGCACAGGCGATCTCTGAAGTGTTGAGAGGGAATGTTACAGAAAAGTGACCACAGGCCTCTCCCAGCTACCAAACCCGTGCTCAGGGCCAGAGGAAAACGCAGAGATGAGCACCTGGTTTGGGGGCGGCGGTGGTCACTGGTGACGAGTGTGGTGGCGCAGCAGCCCCCCGGCAAAGCGATAACTCGGAATGTGCTGAGCGGATGGAGCAGCCGGGGCGGGGCGGGTGTCGGGGAGGCGCACATGGGTGGCGAACACCTGTCCTGGGTGTTGGCCAGGAAGGACAGAAGAATCGGGGGGACGCCTTGGCACATTCACGCTGCCGGCACCAGCAGCGTGTTTGGAAGCAGAGGGGAGGCCTGGGTGTGATTCAGCCTGGACACGGCAGCAAAGGGTCAGCAAGAGTTTCCGGGGCGCCAGTGCTGCATGGGGGGTTGTAACACTCATCCAGCTGTGTGGCAAATAAGATTAGGTGGCTTTCACGTGACAGTCGGAAAACGAGGGATTTTATAGCCAGTAGAGCCCAGTCTCCTAGTTGTACCTGAGAAGCCAGGAGGAGCCCCGAGAAGCCAGGTGGTTAAGAGGTCTGCCTCTGCCTCGTGCGGCTTGTCTGTCGGCCGTGGGCGACGTTGTCTCCCTGCGCCCCCGGAGTGCACACTGAGGGCCGCGTCCGTGCGGGTGCGGGCAGGCTGCGTGAGCTCCGGCTGTGGACTGGCGTCCCGGATTCACCGGGAACGTCTGTTTCTTCCGTGCAGGAAACAGAGCATCAGAGGGCCATGCAGAGACGTGCCATCCGTGATGCCAAAACTCCCGACAAGATGAAAAAGTCCAAATCCGTGAAGGAAGACAGCAACCTCACTCTGCAGGAGAAGAAGGAGAAGATCCAGGCGGGCTTGAAGAAGCTGACGGAGCTGGGGGCTGTGAACCCGAAGAACCGATACCAGGAGCTGATCAACGACATCGCCAGGGTACGGCACCAGGGGGCGCCGGGGGCCCGGCCGCGCACACAGCTCTCTCTGAGGCTCGTGGGGGACGGTGACTGCTCAGAGGACCACGTGCCTTCAGCTCACGGGCACATCGGTGTCCTTGCCCGTGAAGACTCGAGCCTGATTCTGCTAACTCGAGGACTTGCCCGCCCCTGATAGCTGGTTTCAGAGCCTGAATTAATAGCAAGAAGACAGAACTAGAACTTCCCGTGTCTCGGTTTAATTTGTCTTTGATCTCTTGAATTTTCCAGATCCTCTTCATGATTTCTATGTAGTAAGTGCACATTAGTGGACCCCTCAAATCCTTATCATTGTCTCCCTCTTCTGACACCATGTTTAAGAGTTAAACCAGCTTTGCAAGTCAATTCTAAGAATGTGGAAGGAAGTCTATAAAAATAACACAGTTCCCTCCGTGTAGAAAATGCAGATGGAGGGGAAAATAGATCTGAATTTCTTTGTTAGTTATTGAACACGAATTCCTCCTGCCTGTTAAGGATGGGTGGTCCCGGGGGCAAGGTGGAGCACGCCCGGGTTCTCGTGCTCGTGATCCGAGGAGCCCAGGACGTCCGCCCTTATTTCCCCCCCTTTCACCCTCGTGTCCCAGGACATTCGGAATCAGCGGAGGTACCGGCAGAGGCGGAAGGCCGAGCTGGTGAAGCTGCAGCAGACGTACGCCGCCCTGAACTCCAAGGCCACCTTCTACGGGGAGCAGGTGGACTACTATAAAAGCTACATCAAGACCTGCCTGGACAACCTGGCCAGCAAGGGCAAGTGAGTATCGCTGTTGGAGAAGCCGCGTTACTGGGGGGAAAGCAGCAGCGGCGACTGAAGCAACGTGGAAATTCTTGCCGAAAACACACTGGACCTCTGTAGTGCATCAGCTCTTCTCTCTGCTTCTGACCATTTGTGCAGATTCCCGGTCCTGCTCGTTGTTGCGTGATGCAGATGAGGGCTGCGTGGGGGGGGGGGTCTCACGGGATGCTTACTGCTAAGCATTCCTTATTCCAAAATACCGCCCCGGTCCTAGAAATTAAACAGTCGTGATGGAGATGGTCTAGTGGTCCCAAAACCTGGCTGTGCCTCGAAGTCACGTGAGGAAAATGAAACAGGCAAAGACAGTCCCTGACTTCCCTGGCCTCTGCGGACAGGCTGGCACGGGCCGGGAACCGTCAGTCTGCCCGTGCCACAGGGACGGCGACTGACGCCCCGGGGAGGCGGGGTGGCCAGTGTGGGTGCTCCTTGTGGGCTGGTTTGGGTTTTGCTCCTGACTTTGCATTGTAAGGATTTTCAACCTCAGAAAAGTTGAATGACTAGAACAATAAACACCCGTGTACCCTTTGCCTAAATTCACCTGTTTTTAACCTTTTGCCACAGAATCCACTGTCTCGCCCCCCTCCCCTCTCAGAAATCTGTTCCATCTCGCCCAGTGTGCGGGACTGGCTCCTGTGTCCTTCCAACCCGTCCTCATTATTCGTAAGAACTGCCCGACTTTGTAGTACCAGGATGCTTCTGGTTCAACTTGTACTTTCCTGCTCCCCCTGCCGCCCCAGGCTTGGAATTAGCTCTTTTTCCAAACATTCTGATTCCCTTTCATGGAGACTGGTATTTAGAAACCAAGATCTGGGCACCCAGTGGGTATATTGCCTTGGAGTCGTCACTGCTTATAGGCCTGCTGAGACAGAGCCAGGTTGTCGCTCCTTTTTAACGCCTGCGTAGTATTCCCTTGTGTAGATGGATAGAACGACTGATTCAATATGCTCTCCATTGATGGGCGTTTCTGTCATTCCCCGTTATTTATTATAAAAAATTCTGTAATAGCCTCTTGTACAGATGTTATTTTCCCCAACATGGGCATCTTTTAAAAGATAAATTCCCAGAAGTAGAGTTGCTAGGTCAGAAGTTCGTGCTGTTGTGATCGGGACAGACATTTCAGTTGCCTTCCGTGGGGACGATTCCCTTCGCAGTCCTACCTGCGTTTCTGCCCCGTTTCTTGAGCCCCACCCGCAACCCTGGAGCCCCGCATCCCTGGTTTCCAGTTGTCTGTTTTTCCTTTGCTTGCTTTTGTTGTCACTTCTTGCCTCACTTGTCCCAATTGCCCCTAACATCTGTTTCTTTTTCCTTGTTCCCTTTCCTCTGTAATTGCTATACTGGCTTAAGCTCTCAAAAAGTATTTGTCCGCGATGTTTCTGTTTTTTCCCTGTACAGCCAAGGGACTTGCCATGACCCCCCCGTCCTGGAGTTCAGCAGAGACCCCAGGCTGGGGTCCTGGGCCCCCACGCTTCCTGGTGGGGGCTTAGGCTCTGTGAGGGGCGCAGAGAGATTAAGACACTGTCAAATTCATGAGGTGTCCTCAAATGTGATTTGAAGACAAAATCGATTTAGTGATTTTCCCCTGGTTTGCAACAAAATCGCCCAAGCAAATCCTAACGTTAATTTGCCGCTTTAGAATCGGTGTGTTACCCTTGTGTATGGGAAGTTCATTTTCTGACCTCATGTCCTCAGATTGCCAGCAGGACTGAGGGAGGTGGTTATTTATGGAAAGTGACATGACATCACTGTTACAGGGTCTCCAAGAAGCCTAGGGAAATGAAGGGGAAGAAAAGCAAAAAGATTTCTCTGAAATATACGGCAGCAAGGCTACACGAGAAAGGGGTTCTTCTGGAAATCGAGGAACTACAAGTGAACCAGTGAGTATTTACTGTTTGACTTTGTTTTGTACATTGTTTTTTTTTTTTTTAATTCTGCCTTTATCACATCTTTCTGTTACTGCCTTGATTTCTCTCGGCTGGATGATCGTTTTCCTATCTGTTCATACGTATTTACGTGCCGAGTTTGGCCTGGTCATCGGCGTCCGTGGGCTGTTATCCACAGGAAGTACTTCTCCTTGTTTGCCCCCCTGCTGTGCGGATCCCGTTTCCGTTTTTTTCCCTTCACAGCAGGAAGCTGCCTCTGCCGTTTCTTCTGCTTCCAGACAAAGGCGTCTTGGAGAACTGGCGCTCTGCACCTGCTCACCCACACGCAGCCCCCTTCCTCGGCCCCTGGCAGCCGCCGGGCTGGCTGACTGGCTTCTGTCACAGAGCGTGATGTCTGCGGGTCATCCACGCCGCAGCGTGGGGCACATTCCCCTCCTTTCTGAGGCAGAACGCTGCTCCGTTTCACGGATGCACCCCCTTTGTTGACCGGCTGTCCCGTCGCCGGTCACCCGGGCTGCGTCCACCTCCTGGCTGTTGTGGGTGGTGCTGCGGTGAGCACGGGCGTGCGCACGCCTCTTCGGGGTCCTGCGTTCCGTTCTTCCGGGTGCGCACCCCGGGGTGGCACTGCCGGGTCCTTCGATAGTTCTGTTTCCGACTCTTTGAGCAACTGCCTCACTGTTTTCCACATTAGTGGGGAATTTTTAAAAAATTTTATGTGTATTGCCAAAATATTTTCCGGCAGTGTCTGAAGTGTGTACGACAGTGCCTCCTTAGCTCACTGCTTCCTTTCCATCGTTGAATAATAAGTTTTGATGTTTTTAAGTTCAGGATTTTTAAAAAGGTATCACATTTTTACATTTTGTGTTTCTGTGAATTCTGGCTGGGGTGTGTGTAAATGTGGCTCACTATCTGATTTTTCTCTGGCCATTGTTTCAGCTAGGGATCATGTTCTTTTGGGGTTTTTGTTTCTTTTTGGGGGTTGAGCACTTGATGCGTTTTTCAAATTAGTTTCGTAATATTTACTATCTCTTATTTTGTAATCATTTCCTACTGCTATTCAAGTGCGTACCATTATTTGTCTCTCTTACCTCTTTTTAACTTGCTGCTGCGGGCTTAGAAGCCAAGTGACAGATGAAGCCAGTTGAACCGGAATTACTCATTACATAAAACAGCTGTCTTTAGGGGACACCTCGGGGGGGGGGGCTCCTGTGGAGTGAAATGCGCACAGTTGGCACTCGGGTTCGTGACGCCGGGCCTCTCGGTGCCGCTGCGGCGTCTTCCACGGTTCCCAGCTCAGCTCGGAACCGATAAGGTTGCTCCGTAGGTGAGTTCCGGGAATCTGCAGCGACACGCTGTGATCACCTGGAGAACGGCCCTTTCCCACCTTCTCCCGGTGCCGTAAACTCTACGGCCACGTGCCCTGTCGAGGATGAGCGGTATCCCCGGTGTGTCCGGCACTGGCGGTGTGTCTGTGGTGGCGTGCGGTGCGTTTACAGCTGCCGCCGCTCTTTCCAGCAAACCTCTTCTCTGGGTCCGTTTTGTTTCCGGCCCCCTCTCGTTGATTCACTCACTTCTTCCGGTCTTCACGCTTGTGTTCTGACACCCCCCTTGCGCCCTCCCCTTCCAGCCCAGCGTGCTCCTGATTCTCCTCTTCCCCAGGACTCGGCGGCGGCCGCGTGGAGTCAGGACAGGCCTCTGACGCTATCCTTGCCGAGGCCGCCGGTGGCGTTCCTCAGGGTCCCTCTGCCAGGGGGAGGGAGCGCTCGGGGGTGGGGGGGTACTGTTCATCTCCTTTTTGCCCTCACAGGATGCTTTTATATGAGAACTTGAAAAAAATCACACCCTTCTGATGTCCTGTTTCAACAGGTTTAAGAACGTTATCTTTGAAATCAGTCCAACAGAAGAAGTTGGAGACTTTGAAGTGAAAGCCAAGTTCATGGGCGTTCAGATGGAGACGTTTATGTTGCATTATCAGGTGGGTCTGCGCCAGGTGGAACCGAAAGCCCCGTGTCTGGGGTGGCCGTGCCCTTGTCCAGGTCGGAGAACAGACGGGAAGGAGACCCACCTGGGGAGAGCTGTCCGTGTGGAGTGCGTGGGGGCGGGGCGCCACACTGTGGAGAAAGGGGCGTGCTCGGTTTCTGGGTGTCTGGTTCGGCCTGTGCACTCCGAGATGGGGGAACCTCCAAGAGCAGTGGCCCGACGCTCCTGCTTAGTGTTGCCGCTGAACTGGGCTTACGCCTGGACTCAACCAAAGGCTCGAGTACAAGTCTTGACAGCGTGAAATTATGAGCCCGCTCAGTAGCTCGACATCCTCTTTTTGAGTTTTGATTCGGTGTAGGTGCTCAGGACCATCGCTGACAGGTGTGCATCAACTGCATCTTTGTAAACTGAATCCCGTGGCAGATGCAGACGGAGTGCTGCGGTGAATCTCTGTACAATGCAGCCGTTCCTGGTTTTCATTCTGCAGTGTCTCTGCACGGCACCCACCAGAACACGCCAGGGCACTGAGAGGGGCCCGGGGAGCGGGCAGCTGTGCACGGAGCCTTCAGAGTCGGCGCCCGTGCGTCCCTCGTGCCGCTGGCCCTGCTGGGCCGCCTTCCGGCTCACCCACTTGTGCTTTCACACGGGCTGCTGTCCTCCAGCCGGGAGCCCTCCCTCCCTCCCTCCCCTCCTGCCTCTCCTTCCCCCGTGTATTGTGGTGCCGCCCCTAGGGCCCGGGCCCGCTGAGCCGCGGTGCGTGTCCTCTCTGCCCCACAGCCTGCAGGGGAGCCTCTGGTCCCGGAGGCGCGGACTCGGTTTCCTCTCACCCCCGCGCTGGGGCTCCTTGCGAACACACAGTGTTGCTTCGTTTCCTCCTCAGTGATTCGCAGACCCTCGGGGCATGTGAGCGGAGCACATGCGAGATGGTTGTGCGACGCCACAGCTAACTCAAGCACTTGCACAAAAAGGCCCCGTTATCCCCCCAGTTTCCCCAGACTCTTGCAGGCTGACCAGTCCACCTCAGGTCGTGTGTCCCCTGGGGACAAATTCATGCACAGGGGGACACTGCAGGTACGAGGTGCAGGTGACGCGGCTGGGGCCTGGCCTCGAGGAGCTGCTAGGGTTCCCCTTAAAAGAGGAACTGGTGGAACTTCTGGGGCCCTTTCAAGCCCGTGACCCTCGCTCTCTCGTCACCGCTCTTCGGAAGTGGAGGGCAGAGGCCACGCCGGTTTCCCGAGCGTGGCTGGACAGCGGAGGGTGGCGGGGGGAGCGGCGGCCGCGCAGGCAGGTCCCGAGTCAGCCCCCACTGGGAACTGTGGGTCACGTCGGTCACTGTCCCTGGGCCTCGTCTTTAGACTTGAGGTAACCGCCCGTCAGGGGCTTTTTGTCAGACTCGAAAGGACACCACAGGGCGTGCTCGTGCGACATGGAGCGCGTGGCAGACACCGAGCGCACATCCCGCCCCCTCTTCTCCCCTCGCTGCCTCCAGAACAGAGAAGCTTTTTCCTGTGAAACAGCCCCCGGTCGGCGTGGTTGAGAGCGCCCGGCCGGCCGTGCCTTGTTCCCAGGGACCGTGGGTTTCCTCGGGGACCGGGCCGCCCTCCCCTTCTCCGGCCCGAGCCGTCACGCAGACAAACCGCAGACAAACGGGAGACACGTGCTTGTGACACAGAAATCGCGGCGGTGTGCGATGGCTGAGCGCGCTGCTTGCCCTTCGCACGTTTTGCGTGTTTTGCTCTGAGCCACACGACTTAACTCCAGGCGTGCCGGGAAGTTCAGTTGACGACGTGCGCTCGGCCGGTGCTCGCGGGGCGGCGGGGCGGCGGCGGCTCCGTGCCTGGAGCTGCCCTCTCAGCCTGCGTCCCCCCCGGCCCAGGCGGGGCGCCCCGTGCCCTCCGGACCCCGTCCCCACCTGTCCGTTCCTCTCTCGTCCCACGGACCTGACTAACCGCCACAGTGTTTCTCCCGACAGGACCTGCTGCAGCTGCAGTACGAAGGTGTCGCGGTCATGAAACTGTTTGACAGAGCTAAAGTCAACGTCAACCTCCTGATCTTCCTCCTCAACAAGAAGTTCTACGGGAAGTGAGGAGCCGCCGCCGCCGGCCCGACGGGAGGAGCGCCTCGCGCCTGCTCCCTGGGGCCCCTCCACCCGGTGGGCGCCAAGGCCCGCCCCCGCGCCTCACCCCGACACACTCCAGGTTCCCCTTCCTGACTCCTCCCTCTGGCTGGACAGTCATCACCCCCCCTTTAATAGTGAAATTGTTTTTCAGGCTTAGTGTGACTCTCCTTGTTCCTTTGTTTTCCCCTTCCACTTAGGAAAGAGGGGGAACTTGACTCGAATCTCTGTGTTGTTTTGATCTTAGAGGCTGCATTACTGTGTTGTAGGCTGTGGTGCTTGTTTCAATCAGCAGTAGTGACGGTGGGGTTCAGTCTTGTTGATTTGAAGGGGAAGCAACCAGCACCGACAACATATGTGTATGTATATATAAGACACATGAAAAGGTCGGGTCACTTGCCCCTGTTAGGTTGTCATTCAAAGGCGGAATTCCTTTACGTTTTTGTCTCAGCAGCCAAAGGGAAGGGTGAGGAGTTACTGGTCCTGCCCGCTCCGTTTCCCTTGATGGGCAGGAGCTCCTAGAAGCCACTGTTCTGGGTTTATAGGACGCTTTCTGTGTTCCACAAAAGGGGAATGCTGTTCTCCAGCTTCGCCATTAGATTTTGACAATTCCGTGGATGGGAGGGTCCCGTTGACAAAATTCAGCCATTTGGGTAAACTGAGGCCGCCCGAGGCACCTGCCTGCTGGCGCTGGTGCACGAGGCCGACCAGATTCGGGAAGCTGCTCCCCCCCCTCCCCCCACCCCTTCCCTGTCCCTGGGGCAAAGGGCCGGGCCGGCCTGGCACAGGATATAATGTTTTCAGAACTGGTGTATCTTATGAGTGCCTTATTAAAGTATAGATGTATTTCTTAAAGTGTGGGTGATAGGAATTTTAAAGATTTATATAATGCTTCAAAGTCTTTACAATACTGTAAGAAAAGGTTTTTAAAAATTGGCTTGTCTGTATATCTGAAATCTTAATACTTTCTTATAGCTAAAACACTAGGATTTATCTGCAGGGTTGCAGAGAAATAATCCTGTCTTAAATATACTGAAAAAAATAAAAAAAAATACTCAGCCAACTGATGTTACACTTGATACGCAAATCTATTTTTTATAATTTCCTTCTCTTTTTCACTGCCCACACTCTGCTTTTTTTTTTTGTGAACCCCAGGTTTCTGAGTTTAGTAAAAAACAATTCAATTCTAAACATTACATTTTTATTCTTAGACAAAAAGTCGTATACTTTTTTATTTGTTTTTCCAGGAAAATGTATTAAATCATGCCACTGAGCCTCCATTGTCTCTGACGTTTTGGTTCAGTATTCTCTTACCATAAGACATAAAACTGTGCAAAGTAAACTAACAATTAAAAATTTACCCATGTATATTTAAAGTCAATAAACTGTTTTGTTAATAATGAATCATGTGACGTGTCCCTCTTGCAGATGTCAGGACTGGAGACGTGTTTTTCACAGTAGGCTGTCACCACGGACCGAGGTCGGGGCCGTGGGTGCAGAGGCCGCTGTGGGACTCTTTACACGCTCCCGGCAGCCCGCGGGCAGGCGAGGAGGTGAGGCGGTGAGCGCCGTGGAAGGCGTCTCCACTCCCTGACCTCGCCTCCTGTCGTGTTTTTCAGACAATTTTTTTAGTAAATAGTTTCCTCAGATTAAAAGAAGATGCTCTTACAGGTGGCATCGTCTCAAAACCTGGGACCAACCAAAGTGTCGATCCGTTTACATTCATAGAGGACACCCTTCCCAGGCTTGTTGGGCCCCGGAGGGCACGCCCACGACAGACACTGAGCCGGGTTTACGACGCCTTTCATATTACATGTCTTCGCGATTCTGTGTAACCTTTGCCGTTCCCTCGTCCCAACTTTTAATGCAAAAGAGCACAAGATGCACTTCAGGAATTTGGATGGTCACTATGTATGGGGTTCTGGTGTCAGTCCCATTGAGAAAACCCCGATGAACCCACGTGCATTGCAAGCGTGTAGGCTTTATTTTTATTTATTAGCTGTAGCATTCGCTGTCTGGTCTCTCCCCTCCTTTGACCTTCTCCAACAGCCATCATGACATTGACCGTGAGTTTACGCCTTCCAAGAATTTGGACTGCCCGTCAGATTGTGCAGCACACAATTGCCTTTGTATCTCTTTGTATGAAATAAAAAGGTCATTTGTCCGTGTTTGTGTTTATTTTTCTCAGTTTCATTGTTTGCAGTTCCTGCGAAACAGTGTTGATTCGAGTGAGACTTAATAATTGAAAACCACCCTTTATAGTCTTTTGAAGGAGCAAACACAACTCCCAAATCACTGAATCACCTCAGAGAGATTTAGAACCGTGTGAGTAGCCTTTTAAAATGTAATGTGCTTTCAGTAACCTCGACATAAAAAGAAATAGGGGGTGTGGAGAACAAACACAAAGAAACAGGGAGCGTGGAGAACAAACATAACGTTACTGGGTCCCGTTTGGCTGGGGGCTGGAAGTTTTAAATTGCAGCAGCATTCAATGTTAAACGACCATGGGAAATAAGGGGAACAGAATAATCCTAAAGGAAGCGTGAGTGACAACTTGGACGCGATGGTCCGTGTGAATGGCCAGCCACAGCCCCCGCTCTGAGGAAGAGCGAGGTGGTGAGAGTGTGCGTTTCCCGGTCAGTGGGCCCTTGTGGGGGGTTCCACCTCTGAGCCCGTTTTCCCCTTCGGACATGGTGGGGGTGGTGTCTGCTAGGCGTGTTCTTGCAACCAGAAACAAACTGGATTTCAACACCTGTGCTCTGCACTGTTTTGCCAAAAAGTGGAGTTAGAAGGAGGTTTATCAAGGCGTCACGATGTTCAATAGCGGAAATTGGAACACAGGGAAAAGAAGAGGAAGGCAAGACGGGGCCTGGGGAGGAGCGGGCAGCGAGTGTGCCCCGGGTCCCCTGCCCCTGGCAGGGGCCACAGCCCGCCGCTCCCTCGTCCAGGCCCAGGGGGAGCCCAAAAGGAACCTGGAGAAATCACCGCCACCATCTGAACTGTGACATCTCATTTTTTTTATGTTTAAATTGTAAAGTGTGTACTTGCCAACACGGTGCGAGTTTTGAGATAAAAACGACCTCACTTACGGAGGAATCCAGTGGAACCTGACCCCCGTCCGTCCCTTGTAAAAGGTACCTGAGCAAAAATCTTTGTCACCTGCAAACTTTACATCTTTTCTTCTCTTCAAACTCACATTTCTGGTCTACTTTCCTCAGAATTTTACCTTCATGTAATATTTTAAGCATGAGTCTTAACTTTTGGCCGTCCTGTTACAATTATGTGTAACAGACTTTTATTTCCTGTGACCATAAAGCTGTTTAACTCAGCCCAGAAAAATATTTTGCATCACAATTATTGTCAGTACGTATTCGATCAAAGCAGTGGAATACCTAGTCTTGACAAAGAATTCGGAAAGTAAGATTTGAAATGCATTTCTTCACGAGATAAATGAAGGTTTAAGAAACTTGTGGATAAGTGTTATTACTACTTGCTAGAATGAGATCGGGCTCTTCCCAGTTTTCATTTTTACAAATGCAAGCCGAGGAACTTCGCTGTCTCGGTAAATAAGCAGCGAGAACGGGAGTTATTTTGTTACGACAGAGTCACTCATTTTTTTTTACGACCAATTACAACCTTTTGACTTAAGAGTCAACTTTGTTTAACCCAATATGCGAAAGATGCTTTGGGAAAATAGAAATATGTTAATGCTCCTTTTGCACTGCACATTTGAAACGTCTTCTAATTTATAAACAAAATAGTGGGGTGACCCCCGTGTGTTCACCATCCAGGCTCCGCAGATGCTGAGACCATCGTCTCCACACTGCGCCCGCCCCTCCCAGGTTACTTTGACAAATCCCAGATACAGTATTTCAACCATTAATACTGAAGTATTTTTCTCTCCAGGGGGCAAATGTGCTCGCAGGAGACATTTGGCAATGTTTGGAGATATTTCCCGTCGTCCCAACGAGGGGGATGTTCCGGGCACCCACGGGGCGGAGCGTCTTACAGGGCACAGCCACGAATCAGCCACCGCGTCCGTAGACGGAATCCCACTCTTGACAGAAGATGAGGACTTTTCGAAAAGAATCCTCAAACCGTGATCATACCTGAAAAATAATTTTAGACCATCAAACATGCAGTGTTTACACTTCCCCAGTCATCAGATAATTGCTTAAATAATTCTTGTGTTTGAATCAGGTGCCAGATGCAGTCCACGCATTACATCTAATTGATAGGCTTCTCAAGTCCCTTAAGCTATGAATTCTCCCCCCCCCCACCTTTTTTTTTCCATCGTGCAATTTATTTGATGTTGATCCTGTAGCATTTTCACATTCTAGGTCTCTTCTTCTATCTTTGTGGATCAGACAGCTTCAACCTTTTGGCAAGACTATTTTGAAATTCCTATTACATCACATCAGGGTCTTATCTCTTTATGATGGACAACAGTCTGGTCATTGTGTCCAAATGTTGCCAGTCTGACCCCTTTGTTATAAAGATTCCCATCAGCTTTTCATCACAGATTACATGAATTCAGCAGCCACTGATGACTGCCAGGGTTTCTTATTTCATCAGGGTTTGCAGAATGGTGATATTCTAAGTCTGCCATTCCTCCATTCTTCAGTTAGCTTCTAAAAAGGATTTTGTCATCAACTCTTTGGTTATGTTAAAGAGCATTCACATAACAAAAGATGTGTGCTTCTCTTTATTGACCAGTTTTCGGTGCAGGATGGTCCCCTAACATCCGAGAAAGTTGGCCAATGAGATGGTTGTTTTTAATGTGACTGGATTTTTAATATATTTGATGTCTTTCAATCCACTGTAGATTTTTTTTAAGTTTTATTTATTTTTAGGGAGGGGGGAGGAGGGAAGGGTCAGTTCCCTGTCACACACCCCCAACCAGGGACCTAGTCTGCAACCCAGGCGTGTGTCCTGTCTGGGAATTGAACCCGTGACCTTTCAGTTTGCAGGACGGTGCCCAACCCGCTGAGCCACACCAGCCAGGGCTACTGTAGATTTTCTTTTTTTAAGTGCTTAAATTGTCCCTTTTGGGCAGTGGAAGTGCCTTCACAGGGACAATTGAATCACGGAAGATGACCCTTGCTGTATTTAGTGGCTTCCCTGCTCGCTGGCATATGATGTTTCAGCCTCGTTCCATTTCCCGCCCGAGCGCCGGAGCCCTGGTTGCTCTCGGTGGGAGACGGTGTGTAGAGAACACGGTCCCGGTGCCCAGGGGCCGGGTGCTCGTCGGTACTGAGCTGGACATTGTTTCTAAGATTTTTTCCGGCCCTGGCTGGCGTAGCTCAGTGGATTGAGCGAGGGCTGCGACCCAAAGTGTCGCAGGTTCAATTCCCAGTCAGGGCACATGCCTGGGTTGCAGGCCATGACCCCCAGCAACCGCACATTGGTGTTTCTCTCTCTCTTTCTCCCTCCCTTCCCTCTCTAAAAATAAATAAATAAAATATTTTAAAAAAAGATTTTTTCCCAATGGAAATGGTTGGTGTTTTTTTTCTTTTTTTAAAGAGAACATCTCTTGCGTTCATAAGACAAGGTTTTAAGTGAAACGCCTTTATCTACATCTGTGCAACTCTATGAAAGAGAATAAAAGTACCCTGATCAGTAACTTCTGTCCATCCATGGTGTGAATACTTCCCCGTTGCTGCTTCCAAGTTTGACATCGCTTGTCACTGGGTAGAGAATTGGGAAGAGACGCTAACAACCAGCTCTCCTGAGCTATTATAAAACTGCTGAGCTTATCCCAAGAATAACGGGCAATGTGGTTGGATTAAAAAAAGAAACAACGAGCAAGAAATGGTCAGAATTAGGCTTTTAGAAATGTGGGGGGTGGACGGGGACAAGGCAACACGCAAAGGCAGACTGTGCTGTGTCTCCTCCCTCCGTCCCTCCGGCCCTCTGTCCGCCCTCTGCTCCTCTCTGTTCCCTGGGACGCTGGCCCCAGGGTCTGCATCGCAGTGACCCTGCAGCTTCTGGCTGGGTTTGGTCCATGCCAGGCCCAGGGAACACCGCAGCAGGGAGACGAGTTCTGGAAGGAGGTGAGGTAGGGTTTACTTCAGGTCACTGGAGTGGCTGCCTCTCCCTACCGAAGGCCAGAACTCCAGTCCGGCGGGCCCACAGCTCCCCCCACACACCCTGCCCTAGGGGCAGCAAGCCGTCCCTCCAGGCTCTGAGCTGGAGGGTCCCTGCTCTCCCTCACCCCAGGGGTCCCGCATTATCCCCCAGACCCTGCCCTGTCTCTTCATTAACCTTTCCTCAAATTACCAGTTTGAGTGCTATCTGTTTGCTGATTCACAAGGGGACCAATTAAGGTCTCAATTAGCGAGAGTTTGGTGGCCTGCATTGGAGAGTGGTTGTCAGGATGGAAAGAGAGGGGTGCATGCTAGACACGTTTATTAGGAGATAGAGTTGATTAACTGGGTGTTGGGGGAGCAGTAGAACTCAGCGGAGCACGGGGCCTACAAGTGCTCTCTGGAAGGGTTCTAGGAACAAGAAAGTTCCGGAAGTGCTGTCTCCCATCGTTCTACGCGCAAGTCAAGACCCGTCAGCGTATGAAAAAGCTTTGCCAAGTCCCTCGGTCAAGAAATCTAATTCCCATTACCTATCTCTCCCCAAATGTATTTGACTGCAATCTCAGCCCTCTTTTCAGAGAGATCCTGTTAGCCATCTGTGAAACTCATGTTCCACGGAACACGCTCCAAAATGCTGGAGAAAGAGGCTAGACGAGAACCTGGCTTCAAGCTAATAACTAGTCAATATGACTTAGGAAACAAAAAAAATTGCAGATAGCAATCTGCGTGTGTGTATATATATGTGTATATATATATATGCACACACAAATATATAATATATATAAACATTTTTGTTTCCAGAAACAAGGAATCTATACATATTTAGTGTCTTTGTCTTAATTTTAAACAGAGAGTGAAGGATCACCAGAGTTTTGAGGACAGCTCTAGGTGCAGACCAAAATAAACAAACTAAAAAAAAATTAAGTCAGGCAATAACAGAGACAATGCAAGGAGTAGAAGAAAACAAAAACCGAAATAACCTATAATTAAGGCACATCCATGAAGTGAATACAGGATGCTATTTTCAAAGAAACACTCCAAAATCAGGAAAGGGCATTTAGACATTCAAACTACAATGGCAGAAATAAAAGTTCAGCAGGAGTCTGGGTTGGAGAATCAAGTTGAGAAAATTTACCAGGAAATAGAACAACAAAACACAGACCAGGCAATAGAAAATAGGGGAGAAAAGGTGGCAGAAGAGCAATCTAGAAGACCCATCAGCTACCAGGATTTCGGGGCGGGGGGGAAGGACAAAAAGTGAAAATTATCAAAAAGAAGGCCATTTCCCAGAACTGCAGGATGTGAGCATCCAGCTTGTGCCCACACACGGGTGCTCGGCACAAGGGGCAGCCAAACCCCTCATCCAGGCACGTCATCAAGGTCACGTATCAGGACACTAAGTCTTCAGGGAATAGCGGGGTGGGGGGGGAGTCAAAAATAAACACCACCTCAAAAAAGCAGGTCACCTCCAAAGGAGAGGGGGCCTCCCCCACAGCAGCGCTGGGAGCGAGAGAGAGGAGAAGCGATGCCAAGATCTAAGTGAGACGCGTTTCCTGTCATGACTGTTCTCAGCCCAGCTATCAATCAAGCCTGAGGGTAAAATAAAAACATGTGCACACATGGTCTCCAGGATTTTACTTTTCACGTATTCCCCCTCCCACCACGCCCCTCAGGAAACTACTGGAGAGTGTACTCCATTACAGTGAAGGAGGACGGGGCAGGCGGGAGGCAGGGAGCAGAGGTGGTGGAGGGGCAGGAGACCAAGGCACCCTCAGCACAGTGTGAGGGGAGAGGAGCTGCAGGAAAGCGCCCCCGGAGAGAAGCTTCCCCCAGACCCAGGGCCCAGATGCAGTGACATCTCTCTGAGTTCTTTCAGAGAGTTTCAGAAAGACGGCGCCGAAAGAGGGGAGGAACAGGGCTGAAAACACAAATGTAAACCAGGGAGTTTGGGAAAGGGTCTGTAAGGGGTTGAAAGAAATCTAAGCAAATAAAAACAGGCAATTTTATTTTTATTTTTTTCGTTGAGTTTTTAGAGGAATAAAACATTGAATTGCTGTTCTACTTATCTATGCGTTCATCAGTTGTTTCTTATGTGTGCTCTGAGCAGGGAATCAAACCTGTGATCTTGGTGTATCGGGAAGATGCTCTAACCAACAGACCTACCCAGCCAGGGACAAAATGGAGGCAATTTTTTTTAACTCACAAAAAAAAAAAAGTGCAAAATGGAACTATAGCCCTGGCTGGCATAGCTCAGTGGATTGAGCACCGGCTGAGAACCAAAGGGTCGCAGGTTCGATTCCCAGTCAGGGCACATGCATGGGTTGTGGGCCAGGTCCCCAATGGGGGCCACACGAGAGGAAACCACACATTGATGTTTCTCTCTTTCTCCCTCCCTTCCCGTGTCTAAAAATAGATTTTAAAAATCTTTTAAAAAATGGAACTATAGTAAACATTTAACATACCCAAAATTATCATTTAAGTACATTGAAAGAATAGGAGCAAGAAAAATCATATTTTTGATGGGGTCACAAAATAGCCAGAGCACCGTTTTCCACACTAAAGAATGAATAGTTACTATCAAAAATTGAAGGAAAAGATCACAAAAACAGCACGATAAACTAATTTATAGTGGGAAATTTGGAATTGTGTTTTCTAAAAGATTTTATTTAAATCTTACTTAAAATATTTTATTTAAAATATTATTTAATAAAATAAAAATAAATTTATAAAATTATTTAAATTCTATTTAAAATAGTAATATTTATTTATTTATTTTTAGAGAGGGAAGGGAGGGAGAGAGAGAGAGAGAAACATCAATGTGTGGTTGCCTCTCATGTGTCTCTGTTGGGGACCTGGCCCACAACCCAGTCATGTGCCCTGACTGGGAATCGAACCAGCAACGTTTTGCTTCGAAGGCTGGTGCTCAATCCACTGAGCCACACCAGCCAGGGCTGGGATTATGCCTTTAAAATTATAGATCTTATGCAACTTTTTAAACAATGCACATGTACTTATTTGACTTAAAATTAAAATTTAAAATTATTAGGTTAACCATAAGAAAAGTAGAAATGCAATGAGTATCTTCCAAACCAATAGGGGAAATGTGCAAATTAAAAAAAAAAGCATTCAATGCAGTAGAATGCAGCTATGATAGGTACTTGCGTTGGTGAGTTGGTGATGAAGAGGGCGGAGGTAGGGTAACACCCATTCCCGTGTCCTCCTGTGCCTTACTGTATTTCAGAAGCTGAAGGACTACAACTACGTTTCCCAGATGTTACTGCAGGTAGGATTCTGGATGCAATTTTGGCTCCTCAGCTATGTTTCCTCTCTGATTTGATTTGTAAGGTGTAGGTGAAGGAGAGCCTGTGAAGTTGGTGGAGACTGTTACGGAGCTGTCTGAATTTTCTGCATTGGCTTCTTAGGACAACAGCTGTATGTATGGTTCAGGAGCTGGGGAGTTTAGTGACAGCCTTTTCATTCAACAGGTGGCTTCCAGATTTCAGAAGAGGCAGTGGCTCCTCCGGTGGCCTGGTCCTACCAGCATGGCTCTCAAAGTCCTTCCTGAACATTCAGCCTGGAGTCGGCTTCTTCAGCCCCCTGCCCAACAAGACCCTTATTGAAAACAACCCTTTTGTACTTAAACTACAAAGAATGAATTCTGTCCTCACAACTGAACCCAGAAAATATAACGGGAAATCAAAAAGTAACATATATGGTCCTGGTTGGTGTGGCTCAGTGGATTGAGTGCCCACCTGGATGGAACCAAAGGGTCTCGGACTTGGTTCCCGGTCAGGGCACCCGCCGGGGTTGCTGGCCAGGTTCCCCACTTGGGGGCGCGCGAGAGGCAACCGACCCATGTTTCCGTCTCACATCCCTGTTTCTCTTTCTCCCTTCACTTCTCTCTCAAAATAAACAAAATCTTTAAAAGTATATTAAAAAGTGTGGTAAAGAGCACAAAATGAAACAGGAAAAATCAATTATAATAAAACAAGCTCAACTCTAGCTAATAGAGATACATGGTCACATTCAGTTCTAAAAAATCCAGCTAGCTGCTGTATGAGAGACATGAAAAACATAATGAAATACTACACAGTAGCTAAAACAAATGAGTCAACGCAAATGAATCTCAGAAAACAATAGGAAATGAAAAAAGTTGCAAAAGAGTATTCAGCATGTCATTTTTGTAAAATTTAAAAACAGAATTTGGCCTTCCATATGCAGTGGGTAGGTCCATACACCACATGTAATAAAAATATAAAAAACATGAAGAGGGCCTGGCTGGCATGGCTCAGTGGATTGAGCGCTGAACTGTGAAGCAAAGGGTCACTGGTTCAATTCCCAGTCGGGGCACATGCCTGGGTTGTGGGCCAGGTACCCTGTGAGGGACGAGCATGAGGCACCCACACATTGGTGTTTCTCTCCCTCTCTTTCTCTCTCCCTCCCCCTCTCTCTAAAAGTAAATAAATAAAATATTTTAAAAAACATGAAGAGGTATGGAACGCAATGAACCAACTTGAGCACAGTGAGTACTTCTAGGGAGGAAAGAGAATAATAATGGTGGGGCTTTAGTTATGTCTAATTTTGTATTTACTAAACAGCAAGTAAGTGAAGCAAAATGTTTTGATATGTTTCATCGTGGTGGTGGTGGAGGGCGTGGAGTGTTACTATTATTTTCGGCACTCTTCTGCATATCTCTGACTTATGAAACACAGAAACTTTCAGAGCTGTCCTCGACATCTTGATGAACGCCAGCGTTTATACTGAGTGGCTTCTGAATGGGGAAAGGAGATGCTGAGGTTGACAGGCTGGCTGTAAAAGGTGAGGATGACATCCAGCCGGAGCAGAGGCCAGCAGCCACGGGGAGACTTGGGAAGAACCTGAAAAAGGAGCCCGGGCTGAGAGAGCGAAGGGGTTGCACCAGGGCGAGGATGGTGTCTCAACTGTGTGCAAATCAGGAGATGATTTTAAAAAGATCCAGGTTGAGTAACTTTGTCTTGGGTGGGCCTGAGCAGACTGTCAGCGAAACGAATCGAAGGGGGGAGCGTAATGGGAGCTGGAGAGCCGCAGTGTGGGAACTAAGGGAGAGAATTGCTCAAACCCAAGTCTCCTAATTTTCACGCCCATGTTAAAAGTCTTCTAAAATTATAACGTAAATCCAGAAGTCTGGCTATCCCCAAAGTGCGGTTTTTCCGTGAAGTTGTAGACTATTGTCTACAATAGTCTACTGTAGTCTATCCGTTGTACACGGATCCACGTGTAGGATCCGTTTGCTGTGCCGATGGGGGTTCCCTCTGGGTCTGAGCGCTGCGGGGTAGGGAACCCGGGGAAGCCCTGGGACTTAGAACCGTAGTGGGGGCGGGGCCAGCGGGCGGGGCCTAGCGGGAGGCACGGGGGCGGGGCCTGACGGCGGGGCGGGGAAGGGGCGGGGCCAGCGCGTAGAAGAGACTCGCGCGCTCCCGGCTGCTCACTGGCTTTGCGGCCGCGGCGGCTCCTCTGAGGGGTCGAGCCGGAGGAAGGGTCTCGGGCGGCTGCTCGGGCGGCCTGCGGACGGACGGACCGAAGGGTGGGCTGAGCGGCGGGCCCCGCGCCCGCTGTCTCCCCTGCGCCGGCGCCCGGCGGCGCTATGGCCTCTTCCCCGGGCTCGGGCAGCGCCAACCCGCGGAAGTTCAGTGAGAAGATCGCGCTGCACACGCAACGGCAGGCCGAGGAGACGCGGGCCTTCGAGCAGCTCATGACCGACCTCACCCTGTCGCGGGTGAGGGCCCGGGCGGGTGCGGGCGGGGGCGGCCCCGGGCGCGGACCGGCCCCGCGCGTGGGGTGAGAGGTCGCGGGCCCGAAGCGGCGACGGGGCTGAGGCGGGGCGGCGCCCGGGAGCGGGGCCGCCCGGCCGCGGCCTCGGCACCGTCCCGCCCGGAGACCCCCCGCGCGCCGCGGCGGTGGGAGACGGCGGGGCCGGGCGTGCGGGGAGCGGGGTCGGAGCGGCGCGGGCGAGGCGGGCGGCGGGGCGAGGGCGGCCCGCCGGGGAGGGCGACCCGGCGCCCGGGAGGAAATCGCAAACAGCCCGGCGGCGCGCCGTGCGTCTGCTCCGCGCCCCGAGCGTCCACCGCCGCGAGCCCTTCGGGACCGCCGGGCGTCGGGGCCCGGGCCCGAGCGTCCCTCCCGCCGTCGGAGAGAGCGCGCTCGGGGCCGGCCCGGGCTGCCGGGCGCCGGGGGCCGCCTTCCCCACTCTCGCCGCGCCGAGCCGCTCCGTCGGCCGCTCGCTGGGCTCGGCCGCGGGTCTCTCAGCGGGCGGCCAGGTGCGTGGCGGCGTCGCCGGCGACCGAGGGGTCCGGGAGGAGCGAGCGCGCCGCGAGCGGGACAAACACCCGGCGGGGCGGGGCCGCTGCGGCGTGGGGCGGCGGAGGATGCGGAGCCGGCGGCGGTGCGGGCGCCGGGCTGCGGGGCGGGAGCCGGGCGGGCCTCTCCGGAGGAGCCTGATGCTGACCTTGGAGGATGGAGGAGGATGGGGGAGGATGCGGCGGATGCTGGGCCGGGAGGCCGCTGGAAGGAGGGCGGCCCCGGCTCCCCGAGCTGCGGGCTCCGTCATTTTGGGGGTCGGCACAGCGTTTGGGGGAAAACTCCTTGAATCTGTTGTCAGAATATTTTTAATTGGGAGATCACAGAAAACCGAAAAAATTTTACATATATAATTATATAATATGTATATATATTTATATAAACATTTCTTCAGGTGTGAATATATAATATTGTATTGTATTTAATTATAATTATAATATTGGGAGACACTCAGCCTGAATTCCCATATGACAGCCACTGGCCGGAGCTGGGTGGCCTGGCGCGCCCCCTCGAATGGACCGTGGATTCTCTTCGTGGGCCCCAGTGAGCGCCCCTCACTGTTATGCGCCCCCCCCCACACACACACATACACACACTGAGGCTAGGTGTCACTTGCCATTTGTCATCTTTCTGGTGGCGCTTTCTTGTAGTGAAGTTAGGAGGAAAGCGAACATACTCTTGCGCTTACATTGCTGCCACACTCAGAAAAAACCTAATGTAGATAAAGAAGGCTGGATTTCAAGAAAAAAAATTTTTTCCCCACGTCCTGACTAGCTCCATTCATTTATTACTTGCCTGGTGTCCACAGGCATTTCCACGTGACCTTGGTTAGGTTCAGGGATGAGCATGACAAGCTCAGGGCACACGGAGGGGAACGACTGGGCGAAAGCTGAGGGTTAGTGCTGGGGCCTGTGTTGTTCTGTGTTGTTTAGATAAATGAATTATGTGCGTACAAATACATGCATTCTCTATGTCTGCGTACTGTATTTTGCCGTGTGTAATACACTCCCGTGCATAATGCACACCTGCAGTTTTGTGTGCATTATACATGGGAATGTGATAGCCATTATTATACCCAAGCATAATGCGCACCCGTATCTTTCCCTCAAACATCTGGGCAAAAAAGTGTGCATTGTACACAGCAAAATTCAGCACCTAGGGTTGATCCACTATTTCACTCAGTTTGTGAATCCCCCTTAAAACATCCCTGACAGATCAGGTCATGACTAAGGTACGGACTTTTTTATTTTAAAGGCAAAGGTTTTTCACAGATCCTCAATGTTCACCGCAGTGAATTTTGATTATGTTCCTCAACTACGTTCAAACATAAGTTGTATGGAATGTCCTTTGCTTATAGCTGTGATAGAACCATAAACCAAAGTGCATATGTAAATAAATTCAAAGTTAAAAATGCAATTAATTCAAGTGCAATTAACATTACTTTATGGGACAAAGGCTACTTTGCTGAGTTGAACTGGAGCTCCCTCTGTGAATGTGATGCTGATCCCTATTGCTCAGATTCTCTTGAGTTTAGCAAGCCTGGTCATCTGTGCCCCACGTGACCATTCAGCCACCGCTTCTTTCTATTCTAATTATTACAAAATTATGATGCCACTTGGCCCATCACCTGGTCCAGGGCATCACTTGCGTGTTAATTTTTCCCTGGTTTCTTTTATCCTGTATGGAATGCCAATAAGGCACTACAGTTTAACTCTGCTGTGTTCATAAACACAAAGACAAATGATCAGCGCTGAGTTTTGCCCAGTAATACTGGCTCATTTAAAATTTTAAGGACTATTTTCATCATGAACCACAACGGTGAACGGGCACTCGAGAGAAATCTCAGATCCCCAGGCATATGCCTGTGAGCCTCCAATAGTCCAAAGATCCCACACGGAGAAGGACCCATCTGTTGTTCATTGGTAACTGGACGGCAGACACACTGACCCTCCGTGACCAGCCCACAGCAGACATCACTCACCAGTCTAGGTGCTCTCTCCTCTCTGAGCCTGCGCCGGGCTTCCGGACCTTCTCTGCACAATCACAGCCGATCCTTCAAGTGCTGGCGTTAAATCCTATTTGCCTAGTAGGTGGGATGGGCTAGATTATGGAGAATTTTTCATTCCAGCTTTGGGGTTCCTCCTTATCAGGAAGCACTGGGAAAATTTTGAGATGAGAATGCAAGGAGGTAGTCCCTGGGATGGTGAGGAGAGGGAAGGGAGTGGGAGCAGGCATGCCTGGATAGAGGCTGTCCCTTCGTGCCTTCATTTGTCAGTGCTGGAGTGCCCACCGTGGTCGACAGGGGTGAGGGGCTGTGCACGGGGAAGGTGAAGGGACACATGGTATCTCGCCTCAAAGATCTTAATTTATTCCACAAATACTTATTGAATGAGTCCCTTGTAGGTGCCAGGCGTGAGGATGGAAACTGGGGATACAGCAGTGAGCAAGCAAATCAGTCTCTTCATGGACTTTAGGATTTAATGGGAAAGACATTCATTTGACAAGTAAGGACGCACTTTGATGAATATTACAAAGGGAAGCAGATGGACTCTTAGAGTGTGTGGTAGGGAGTCTTGACCTCCGCTAGTGGCCCAAAGGGTGAGTGGGAGTGAGGAAGGCGTTGAGAATATATGTTTGCGTGTTGAGGGGGAGAGAATGTTTCAGGCACAGGGAACAGAGGTTCATCAAGGGGACAAAGAGGGTGATTTGAGATGAGGGGTTCACAGGGTTCAGATTGTAGAGACAGGATTTGGGACTTGATCCCAGGAACTACGGGGAGTCACTGAGGGGTCAAACCAGCAGAGCTTCGCATTTTCAAAGAATGCCTCTCGCTCCAGAATGGTGGCTGCAACGGAGGAGGAGGTGGCAGAGAAACTGGTTGGAGGTTGTAGTACTATTCTGGCGGATGTGGTGATGGCATTGAGAGGGAGGACTCGAGGATGCTCCCTCGCTTTCAGACCGAGCCATTTCAGGGTCCCCCCCATACAGAGGGGGCAGTGGCAGGAGCAAGGAGGGGGCAGACCCTTCAGTGTCGAGAGATGCTGAGTTTGAGGTGCTGCTGAGTCATCTAAGTAGAGAGCATCCAGCAGGCAGATGGTAAGGGGTCCTGGAGCTCGGGAGGGAAGTCTGGGCTAGTGATAGAAATGCGGGATCTTTGGTGTGTAGCTGCAAAAGGAGATTCAGCTGCCTGGGAAGAATGTCTAGAAAACACCTTGCAAGTTGGTAACCTAAATTCTAATTTGACTCTCTGACGTGTTTTTAATGTGGGGCACCCATAGGTGTATTTTTTCAAAAAATTAGGGCCAATAATAAATATTGGGATTTTACATTGAAATATGAACTCTGGCTTGTTTTGAAAAAAAATGAGATTATCTGACAACACTCACCCAGCGTTTCTGCATGGCAGCAGTTACCTGGAGCTGAACAGTCTGCTTTCACCATTAGATAGGGCAGGTATGTGTTCTTCAGTTTGCCACACTCCCCACCACTCCCTATAGTGTTCCCCAGAGCGACTCCAGCCCACTTCACTTCGTCACCTTCCATACTTGGCACCTGTAGGCATTTGAGTTTGTGACCCCTGCTATGTAGACTGAGCTGCAAAGAGGGCCTAGGAGAAGCCCAAATGGCTTCACCATTTAAAGGAGAGGGAGAGGAGAAGAGGAGGGGGAGGCGCCAGCAAAGAAGACTGAAGAGCCTCTAGATAGAAAAGCTGGGAGGATGATTGTTAAGAGCAGGGAATGTCGACCAGCCTAGGTCAGTGCTGCTGACTTGGTCTAACTTGATAAGGACACATCCTTCGGTCTACTAGTCACGTAGAGGCCATTGGTAACCGAGGTGCAAGCCACTGCATTCACAGGTAGGGAGGCTGTAAGGCACTGAGGAATGAATGGGAGAAAATGGAGATGGGGCTGGGAACTTGTTCAAGAAGTTCGGCTCTGAAGGACAACTTGTAGTGTTGAGAAACCTCAGGATAAACTTGGCACATCAACCTGGAGCATCGATTTGGCTTGAATACTTGGGGGAAAACCATCAGTTTTAGATGAAAACAAACAAACATTACCTATGTCATGGAGGAGTGGGGTCTCTGAGAGAGGAGTAGAGAGAGGGGACGAGAAAGACTAGATTTGGGCTAAAAATTGAGCATTATCTTTCCACGAGGCACTGTACTGATCTCTTTGCATTCATTATCTCATATAGTTCTCACAGTGACCCTATGAAGTAGGTTTCTAGAATATTCTTCATTTTGCAGATGAGCAAGCTGAGGCTTCAGAGTTAAGGTAGCAGGACTGGTAAGTGCTAGAGCTGGGGTTTGAATCTGGCGGCCACAAGGAGTGTCTGCATATTCGGCTACTTCAGAAGCATTTGTTGAAAACACTTCTCTTTCTCCATCGAATTGCTGTGACACTTTTGTCAAAAATTAACTGGCCATACATGTGTGCGCCTAATTGATTTGGCCATATATGTGTGTGGCCTATTTTTGAACTCTCTTTGGTTCTGTTGATCTATACATCCCCTGTTCTCACAGTGGCACCCTGCCTAGATCACTGCAGCTTTGAGTCTTGACATGAGGTAACTTAAGTCTTCCAACCTTGTTCCTTGAACTTGCTTTGGCTAGTCTGGGTTGTTTACATATCCATACATTTTAGAATTATCTTCTCAATTTCTACAAAAAGGCCCGCTGGGATTTTGTTTGGGATTGTGTTGACTATTAAGATACTTTTTTTTTTTTAAAGGAGCTAGTGAGGATTGGATCTCATTTCATATAGACATTGAAGGAAATTCCACTAAAGCGTGTAACTAAAGTCTAGCGGTTGCTAACTTGAGTTACAGGTATACAGGGTAAGGCAGGTAAGGGAACCAGGCGGAGGGGTCAGGAATGAGATGTAAAGAGTAGCCGATCTCAGGCCCTAGCGGGAGGATCATAAGGTACAATGAGGAGCTGGTCAAACATGAGGACCTCAGCGTGGCTAAGAGGGCCGTCACTCCTCAGCTCCGGGTGTTTTGCCACGCGAGAATATGGGTCCAGTATGGTCTGCACTCTCAATGAAGAGAAGCTGGAAATCCAGATTTTATAGCCTCCCAATTTTTAGATTAAAATTTAAGACATCGAGTGGGTCAATATTGTGGGGGTCAAACAGAACTCTCTAGGCTGAATGTAGCCTATGGCCTGCCGGCCCGTCTGCGGCCTCTGCCTCAGGCGAACCATTCTTTGGTCCTTATTGTCATCATCAGTAAGTGTGACAATGTCGCAGACAGTTCAGCGGTTCTATTTGGTTCAGTGATTCTATGTCTCAAGTAAGGGAAATATCAAAACTTCTCAAGGGTTTTGTAGGTAGTTAATAATGATATTCTGAGAAGTCGTCCAGACCTTTCCACCTTACCTAGGCCACTTTCCCGTGACCTGCCAGTGTCCTGTCTGTTCTTTCGTTGGGAAGTAGGCAGCCAAGTAATTTGCCCCACCGCCTGGCAGCCCCAGGTTGCAAAGCCAGGTCTTCTCATTCCAAATTCAGCGCTCCTTCTACTGCAGTGCAGCCATCTCTGAAAGCTCTAGAAATAGGCATTCGGGAGGGAGAGCAGATGTGGGAGACCCCGAGTGGGCCTTCACTTGGCGGAAGGCAGGCCTCTAGCTACACGAAGAGCTTAGCTTGGCTGAAGCATCTTTTTGAGGCTGCGGGGTAAGAGCTGAAGCCTTGGCGAGAACTAGGAAGGCAGGAGCTGTGGCACGTATTCATCTTCGTAGGCCAGTGCCTGACCTAGCACCGGACCCACAGTTCAGAGTTCTTACGTAAGGGAGTAAATGGGTGGGTTGGCGGAAGAAGGAATCAAAGGGTTTAGACCAAGAAGGGTGAGAATTTCATCTAGAACACTTGAAGGACATAGTCAAATGCTTTGGGGAAGTGCTCTGAGAATGCGAAGATCACACGCTGAGCTGTTCTTACAGCTCAGCTGATAGGTGGGGAAGCTCAGTTGCCACGTCCTTCTCTGCTCTGATGCTCAGGTCTGGGAGTTGATGACTAGGGCATGCCCCAGGGGAGTGTGTTTGAGAAATCAGATTCTGTGGGTCTAAGGAACTGCCAACTTCCAAAGAGATACAAGTCCTTATCTTTTGGGGATGCACGTTGAAAAAGATGCATCAAGACTAGACATAAGTCGGGAACATTGGTGAAGCTGGAAGATGGCTAGGTGGGGTTTTGTATATGTTTGAAAGTTTTCATCATAAATGCAAAAGAAAAAAAAAAAGAGAGCTTCATAGGCTTGGCATTGCTTTTGGTCAACCAAACCTCACTTTTCTCTAAGCTTGTAAATAGTGTGATTATTGAGGCAGAAACGAAAAGAAAAAAGGAAAAGAATATGGAAGAAGTAAGAATGTGGGTTTTGAGTTAGACCGCCACAGCTTGGCTTCCTGTAGCTTCGTGACACTGCGCCAGTCTCTGAGCTCCCGAGCTCTGGGTGTCCGGGTCTGTAAACTGGGGTAGTGCCATCTCCCATGCCGGCTGTGGCGAGGGTTAGAGATGAGGTGGGCAACGGAGACTCAGATCTGGTAGTCTCTTTTAATTAGGCAAAGAGAAAGAGTAGTGAAAGGGGAAACTTCTGCATCGGGGTTCCCATCCACCCTTTCTTCCCCATGTGAATTATAAGTGCCGGGGTTATATAACCACAGAGGTAATTTATTATTTTTAAAAGAAAACTCTTAAAGACCAGATCAGACCACTTGGGGGTTCGCAAGAACTATAATCAGTTTATTGCCTTTTGAAAAATGAAGCAAGGAAGAACTTGCAGAAGAAAGTCACATTACAACAGTGGCATACCATTGTGTACCTGTGGGATCGGCCTCCTCCCGCACCCCAGTTACAGGTCGTCTGCAGTGTTGGCGAGGTTTCTGGTGAAACTGCTTTCTCACATGTACACTGGTGTACCCTTTGGGAAAGCATTTCGGCAGCATGTGCTGAGAACCATTGAAAGGCCCGTACCCAGAGACTGAGTAATCACTCTTTGGAATGTGTCCTTTGGAAATAATTTGGAAGAAGAAATGTTATGTTGCCATAGAATATGATTGTGTCATGTAGAAAAGGCTTAGGGTTGTACCTGTGCTGTGATTACAACTACGCAGTCATCACAGGTACAAGGGGGTGGCTGGGAAGGAGCAGGGGAGGGAGGACAGCTGTGTTGCACAGTCAGTCGTAGATGGGGGCTTAGTTTCTCTTCAAGAAATTCTCTATTGCTGTTGAAGGCTGTGCCTGCACCCCTTCATGTACACACTCAAAAGACTTTGCAAGAGTGTCTACCATGATGGCACACAGGACATTTGGAACACGGGTAAATTCTTTCCAAAAATAGACTAATCAAAAACCACCGAGCACCGGAAACCTGACAGTTTTAAGTAGAGAAGAAATTGAAACCAAGACTCTCACTCCTGAGCCATGTCACTACCAAGCAGCCTGCTTTGATGCGTTCTCCAGGCCTTTGCTGTCATCTCTCAAAGTCTTGCAATCTCTTTGTCTCCAGGTTCAATTTCAGAAGCTTCAGCAACTGCGCCTGACACAGTACCATGGCGGATCCTTACCGAATGTGAGCCAGCTGCGGGGCAGCGCGTCCGAGTTTCAGGTACCTTTGAATATTTACTTCTTTAAGTTGAGTGGACTGGAAACAGATAGGCAGAGATTACCCTTAAAAAGATTAGATCTTGCTCAGTGGATTGAGTGCGGGCTGTGAACCAAAGTGTCGCAGGTTCGATTCCCAGCAAGGGTACATGCCTGGATTGCAGGCCATAACCCCCAGCAACCGCACATTGATGTTTCTCTCTCTCTACCTCCCTCCCTTCCCTCTCTAAAAATAAATAAATAAATAAATAAATAAGAAATGGACCAGTAAGTCGTTCTCTCTCTCATAAACACATAAAAATTAAAAAATAAAATAAAAAAAAAGAGATTAGGTCTTGAAGGATAAACCTGGCCTAGATACAGTGCAGTGTTCTGGGCAGGCCATGCTGTTCTCTTTCCTACTCTCTGCAGAATAGGGTAATGTGACTTTCCAACGTCCAGGGGGAGTACAATGTGAGCCACATATGTGTTGTAATTTAAGCTTTTTCAGTAGACATGATGAAGAATGAATTTTATTTTAATAACTTAAATAATTATTTAACTCACTATATCCAAAATATTATCATTTCAACATATTATCAATATGAAAAACAGTTATTAAATGAAATAGCGCGCATTCTTTATTTTTTGTCTTGAGTGTTTGAAATCTGGCATGTATTTTACACGGAGACACATCTCAGTGTGGGCTGGACACACCTCACTGCCTCCTGTGTCCCGTGTCTGCCGCATGGCAGAGTGCGGACGTAAGGCGCAGGCCGCCGTCTCCATTGTCACTCGTGCTTTCACCCCGTTGCTGAGCCTGCTGCTTTCCTAGGGCTGCTCTAACACAGCACTGTAAGCTGGGTGGTTTAAAACAGCAGACCTGTGTTCTCTCCCAGTTCTGAGGCTGGAAGTCCGAAATCTAAGTGTCGGCCCGCTGCGCTCTCCGAAGACTCTAGGGGAGAGTCTTCTAGCTTTTGTTGGTCGCCGCCAGTCCCTGGTGTCCCTCGTCTGCCTCCATTGCATATGACCTCCTTTACGTTTGTCCGTCTCTGTGTTCGCATCTCCCTCTCCCTTCTCTTGTAAAGACACCAGTCACTGGATTTAGGGCACACTCTTGTCCAGTTTGACCTCATCTCAACTTGATCAAATCCGAAAAGGTTCTCTTCCCCAGATTGCCAAGGTCACCTTCACAGGTACTCGGCATTAGGGCTTCCACATGTGTCTTTGTTAGGGAACATAATGCAACCCACTACATTGCGTTTATCAGTAGTTCATTTCTTTTCTTTTTTAAAAAATTTTATTTTAATCATTGTTCAAGTACAGTTTTCTGTCTTTTACTCCCATCCCAGCCCACCCACTCCTCCCTCCCCACCTCCTTCCCATTTCTACCCACCCTCCTGGTTTTTTCCATGTGTCCTTTATATTTGTTCTTAATAAACCTTTCCCATTCTCCCCTGAAATTCCCCTGAAATTCCCTCCGCTCTCCCCTCTGGTCACTGTCAGCCTGTTCTCTCTGTCAGTGTCTTTGGCTATATTTTGCTTGCTTGTTTGTTTGTTTCTTTTGTTGTTCAGGTTCCTGTTAAAGGTGAGATTATATGGTATTTGTCTTTCACTGCCTGGCTTATTATACTTAGCATAGTGCTCTCCAGCTCCATCCATGCTATCACAAAGGGTAGGAGCTCCTTCTTTCTGCTGCATAGAATTCCACTGTGTAAATGTACCATAGTTTTTTGATCCATTCATTGACTGATGGGCACCTAGGTTGCTTCCAACACTTAGCTCTTATAAATTGTGCCGCTATGAACATTGGGGTGCGTAGGTTCTTTTAGTTCATTTCTTTTTTATTTCTGAGTAGTCTTCCATTGCATGGAGGAGCTGCAATTTGTTTAGCTATTCACCAGTTGGTGGGCACTTGGATTGTTTCCATCTTTTGGCAATTGTGAGTAAAGATATTGTAGCCGTCACACACAGTTTCTGTGTAAACACCTAGAAGTGTAACTACTAGGTAAGTGTGTATTTTGTTTTACAAGAAACTGCCGTACTGTTTCACTGGTCCTACTGTTCCACATTCCCACCAGCGGCGTGTACAGGTGCCAGGGCCCGCCTGCTATCTCCTCCAGCACTTGTTTTTCAGATGGTTTTAAATTGCCCTGAAGAACACAACATACCAGTTACCATCCTAAGCATTTTAAAGTATAAGTTCAATAGTGTTAAGTATATTCACATTGTAGCACAACCAACTTCCAGAACTCTTTCCTCTCACAGAAATGAAACTCTGTATTGCACTCCCATTTCCCAGCCCCAGGCAGCCACCCTTCTACTTCCTGTCTCTCTGAATTCACCCACTCCAGGGACCTCATATAAGTGACATCCTGCAGTCCTTTTTCTTTTTTTTTTTTTTTGATTGGCTATTTCACTTAGCATCATGTCCTCAAGGCTCCTCCATATTGTGGCAGGTGACAGGGTTTCCTTCCTTTTTAAGGCTAAATAATATTCCGCTTTTTGTATAAAGCAAACTTTGTTTATCTGTTCATACATCAATGGACGTGTGGGTTGCTCCCACCTCTTGGTTATTGTGAACGACGTTGCTGTGTGCGTGGGCGTGCAGCTGTTTCTTCCAGAACATGATTTCAATTCCTTTGGGTATATACCCAGAAGTGGGATTGCTGGATTCTATCGTAATTCTATTTTTAATTTTCTGAGGAACTCCTAAACTGTTTTCCACAATTGCTATACCATTTTACATTCTCACCAACACTGTGTAAGAGTTCTAGTTTCTCCACATCATCACCAACCTTTGAGATTTTCTGTTTTGTTTTGTTTTTTATATTAGTCATCATAGTGGATTTGAGGTGATGGTATTTCATTTTTTAAAATGTTGGCCTTTCTGCTACATGCATGGTGCTATCTCACTGCGGTTTTAATTTGCATTTTCTTAATGACTGATAGCATGGAACACCTTTTGATGTGCCCGTTTGCCATGCTCACATCTTTGAAGTGTCTCTTCAAGTCTTTTGCCCAGTTTTCAAATAGAATTGTTTATTTTCTTATTACTGAGTTGTAAGAGTTCATTATATATTTAGATACCAATTCTTTATCTGATACGCGCTTCGAAAATATTTTCTCCCCGTCGGCGGCTTGTCTTTTCATTTTCTTAACAAAAGTCTTGAAGAACAGACGTTTTAAACTTTGATGAAGTCCAGCTTATCATTTCGATCTTTTATGATTCCTGCCTTTCATGTCTTTTCTAAGAATTCTGTGCTTAACTTGGGATCTGGGAGTTTTTTCCTCTCTGTGTTCATCTGGAAGTTGTATAGTTTTAGGTTTTATATGGAAGTAATTTCAAGTTCATTTTTTAATGAAGGACACAGTGTAAGTCGAGGATGACCCATTCTGCGTTTGGATGTGGACTCATTCCAGCACCGTTTGTTGAGAAGACCTTTCCCTGGTGAATTGTCTAGGCAATTTGGTTGAAAATCGCTTGACCGTACGTGTGTGTGTTTGTGTGTGTCCACGTCCCAACGGCGGCTTCTGCCCCACCAGTCTCTGTGTCTCTTGACTGCTCACCTTTCCAGGAGGGCTGGGAATCAGGCGGTGGGAGACCTCCGACTTCATTCCTGTTCAAAGTTGTCTTACTTTTGTTAGTTTCTTTGCTTATCCATAGAATTTTAGAATCAGCTTGTTGATTTCTACAGAAAAACTCTGCTGGGATTTTAAATGGGTTGCACTGAATCTGTGGAACAGGTTGGGGAGAATTGATGGCTTCCTAATACCGAGCCTTCCGATCCGTGAATATGGTGCGGAAGCACAGGTTTTGATTTAAGTTAAGTTGCTTATAATTATTTAGTTGAACACAGTCCACTTCCTTTTATGTTTTAGATCACTTTGGAGTTTACAGAATGCTTTCACATCTGTTATTTTACTTGGTCTGTACTATAACTTCAGTTGCTAAGCATAGTACTCTTTTAATATTGGTTAAAGACCAATTTTCTATCCTCATGGAGGATATAAAAGCCCATTCTTCTCCCATAACCCACTGGGCCCCATCAGAGAACACAGACTTATCAATGAGCAAGCTAAAGCAAGCCTTTCGGGCTTCCTTGTGATAATCCTTAGCAAGGGGCCAGTCATCAGTCAGGGAGGGCCTGGCCCGTGGACATCGAAGGGCAAGGGGAGGAAGTGGACATCACCTTCTTCTCGGGGGGCTAGGGCTGCCTCTCCTGGGGAGGGGGCGGATTTCAGTTCTCTAGCCTGCAGAGCAGCTGGGGCACCTGCTGGCTGTGTGGCGTGGAGGTCAGCTGCAGAGAGAAGGACAGAGGGCTTCTCTCTGTCTGGGACGGTCTGGGTGTGGTCGGTCATAGGCTTTCACAGCCTCCATGTTACCCACCCAGTCCTTTCCAGTTACACCACTAAAAACGAATCCCGCCTTACACGTTTCTGACTGCTACCTTTTAGCACAGTTGCATCATCTTGTTTATAACCGAGCATTTATGAGTTTTAACTGCTGTAGGGAGCAGTCTGGTGGCCAGAGGGAGAAAGTGCTGCTGCGAGGCAGTGAGGCTGGCAGGGCTGGCCTGGAGCGGCGGCAGCGCCCAGAGGCCCACCACCAGCACTCGGGGGTGTGCCGGCCCGAGCCTGCGTGGCAACAGTGTAAGAGAACCAGCCAGCACTTACCTGTCAGTGCCGATGGCTTTTCTTTGCTGCCTTTTCTTTTAAATTTTTAAGATTCTTTAAAAAAAATAAATGGCAAAAGATACGTCAGTTAAAGTCAAACAAATGGAAAACATAGGTAGCAGTGGTAATCTCAAAATACTACTAGTACGAATAGCCAGTGTTTAGTGGGTGTGCGTTTGTGCCAGGCGCTGCATTAAGCTCTCTACACAGATTATTTAATCTTCCCCAAAACCCTTGGGGTTGGTATATGTGTTTGGTAATGGCCATAGCATTGTTTGACTTTTACATGATGAAATAACATAACAACAAATTACAAAAAGCCAAAACTAGCGACGTGTTCTAAACAAA